ACATAACCCTAACCCTAACCAGATGAAATGTCATTTATGTATGTAGTTATGCATTATTTATATCAATGGTACAATGTACAGTGTTTTATCTGCATCAGAGTTAGCTGTAAATTAGTAAGTAATTGAACTAACATTTTTTTACTACCGTATAAAATTTTCAAGCCAACTAATCTATGTATATATGTATGTATTTAGTGATTTGATTGTTATTTATTTCACTGGGACAATGTACAGATTTTTTGTTGCAAGAGAGATAGCATTTTACTTATTGTACAAATGTAAATGTGGATTAGCATTTTAGTGTTTTCAAGGAGCTTCAGTCCCTAAGTACACATATGTGTACATCATGTTACCTCACATACTAAGCTGATATTTTTACAATATTTTTTTTCAAATTTGCATGTCATGACAGATGTACAACACTTTCATAAATATCAAAATCAGAATAAGCCATAAAATATGACAGCACCTCGAACCTGATCGATGTTTGTGTATGGAGGTGCCACTTGAATATTACCATGTGTTCGCCGCTATATTGAATTTTGACAATAGTAAGTTAGGCTCTTCTGACACGACTGGATGGCAGAGTCACTGTCCACACATGTCTATAATACCCCCAGTTCATCACTGAACATGATTGTGGACATAAGAGGTAAAAAGTGCTGTCCACGTATGTAAGAGGTTAAATAATGCACAAAATCTAATATGTTCAAAGGATAGACACAAAACTACTTTATATCTGAAGGAGCAGCGCAAGAAGCTCAGACATTCAAATCATTTCATATTGTTAACTTAGTCTTCCAGTGGGACTATAGTAAGCTTTTTTTTTTTTAAGTTAACTCAAGTAAATGTAACTGTGTACTATCCGCCTCTGGAATTCCCATGTTAGAACAGTGAGATAGATCAGAAGAGGTGGCAAAATGCTGTTTTCAAGCCTAAAAGTAGAACTTGTACCTCATCAAAAATATCAGACAAATGTGCCATCCATCCATTTTCTCTTCCATCTGGGGCCAGGCCATGGAGGCAGCAGTGTCAGCAGGAGGTCCCAACCTTCCTTTCCACACACGTCCTCCAGCACATCCAGGAAAAGGCCAGCGCAGCGTGTCCAGAACATTTATGATGAAGTTAGACACTTGGCTTATAAACTACTCGCATAACATCTGCCCCCATCTGAGATGTGGTGTTTTGCTAAATGACACAATGACACCATTAGGGCCAACTCCAACACTAATGCCCAGTCATCATTACACATAAACTCACATATACAGTGGAAGAGTAATTTGACTCAAAAGTCAGAGCCAAAGCATTACAGAACACAAAACACACATTGGTATCTTGCCAAATGACACTATTAGGGCTGTAGCTAATGATTACTGTAGATGTCAACTATTACTACCACAGTTATTTCTGTTGTACATTGGGTCACTGGGTCATGTGTCAAACCAACAGCAGGTGGAGACACAGAGTCTCTTGTAATGTTCCACACCAACAGCGTCAGCTCAGCTGTGCAATACAATGTCATTACAACACTCTGAGGTTACTTAATGTGTTACAAGTCTGAGAAAACAAGCCTACACTATAACCAACTTCCAGTTCATTATAGGCCTGATCAAACTAGATGAGGTTTACATGTGGGCTAGCGGCTACATTTCTTAGGCCCTAAACAGTGTTTAAAACCTAAAAGTCTATTTTTATGGCTTTTCTCCTTGTATATCCAGCTTCTTTCAGTTAAGGCTCCTCACTAAAGTAAAGCCCTACCTCCCACTGGCAGAGTTCGAAAAAGCGATCCATGCTTTCGTGACATCACGTCTGGACTATTGTAATTCTTTGTATGTAGGGTTAGACCAGAGCTCCTGTCAACAACATGTCCAGAACGCTGCAGCTCGTCTGCTGACAAATACTAAAAAACGTGAAAACATTACACCTGTTCTGTGTGACCTGCACTGGCTCCCTGTCTTATATCGGGTGCAATTTAAAATGTTATTGTTTTCAAATGTTTGCACTCTATAGGTCCAGTCTATTTGAGGGAGTTACTGCAGCCCTGTCCTCCGCCCAAGAGCCCTGAGATCAGCTGACCAACTCCTGCTGGTCGAGCCCAAAACTCGGCTCAAGACAAGAGGTGACAGAGCTTTTTCTGTGGCAGCGCCCAGACTGTGGAACAGCCTTCCTCTTCCTGTCAGATCCTCTCAGTCTGTAACGCAGTTTAAGGCGAGACTGAAAATTCACCTCTTCTCCCTGGCATTTAGTACGAGCTAGTCAGGTTATCTTGGTGTTTTTATTGTAGTTTTCACATGTTTTCTGTATATATGTGTATATGTAACTGTTTCTTCTATGTTGTTGACTTGTATGTGAAGCACTTTGGTCAACTGAAGTTATTTTAAATGTGCTATATAAATAAACTTGAATTGAATTGAATATGCTCACAATAGTTCCTCTCAGTGGCCTGTTACCTCCTGCAGATGGAGTGCTTGTATTTGGTCTCATGTGAAGGATATAAGGAGCACAAGAGCGCACATGTATTTAAATAAACTTACTTTAAACATGATTTAGACTTTAATAAAAGACAGTTTAACTTAACTAGTCATCCCACATGGACTGATAACAACAGTCAAATCATTTTTTCCTCACCAAAGTAATAGTAGTGGAAGTGAGCGGGTGCTCACAAATCTGAACTGATGTGTCTGTTGTGGTGCTGGAAATATGTGCTAGGCAACAGGTTGGCCACTCCTGATCACCTACAAAGCCCTCCACATCCCTCTTCGTACCTCACAAACCCCAGGGCCCCTCCCACTGCCTCTGATCAGTCGACTCCAACCTCCTCACTCCCACAGTCAAATCAAAGCACCAGACTTTACAGGTCTGAGCAATCACCACTGCTGCCCCGACCCTCTGGAACTCTCTCCCACTCCACATCTGAAACTCAGACTCACGTAACACCTTCAAAAACAGCTCAAAATTCACCTGTTCCTCAGTCTATAAACCCCACACATGACTGCTTTCTCAAGATTTGCTTTGTTTGTCGTGTCTTAGTTTTTATTGTAAAGCATCTTTGAGTAATTGTGAAATCACTATATAAAAACAATCTATAATTATTAGTAATATAATCAATAATAATAATAATAATAATAATGATGATAATAATAATAATAATAATAATAATATCAGCAGCAGCGCACACACACACACACACACACAGAGCTTTACATACTTTAAAAATCATGTAATAAAACATGAAAGCAAGCATTAGTCTATATTAGGCCTTTAATAATAAAAAAAAAAAAAAGAAAAGTCGCTGGTGGGGACGAGGGGTTAGACTTGAACACTCTTTACAGTATAGACCTATAGACCCTCTACACACGTCTTTTTATTTTAAATGTCATGTCTATGTTACACAAAATTGACTATTGTGAGCTTTGACCCATGTTAGAATGGTGTTACCTCCTACAAACAGAGCTGGAGTTGTGTTTGTTTCATTCACACACGTTTCACACACCTTTATTATTGTGATGCAATGTAGCAGTATTTTTCATATGTATAGCTCCTTTTAGTTCAGCAGAGATCAGTCATTCCAAGTCTGAAATAATCCAAATTCTTCAGAAGGTGTATGGAGTTTAAAAATACATATCACAAGGTGGAACAGTGTGTTTTCTATTTGAGAGAAGAACTTAATATTCAGGGTTTGTGTGTTAAACATGTGTGAATGAAACAAAACACAACTCCAGGTCTGTTTGTGATGAAGAAAAAACATTATAACATGGATCAGAACAATAGCGCCATATGGGCCCTTTAAGCAGTTTCCCCCCCAAAAAACTACCACTTAACTGATGTAAAATATGTGTATCGCTAGTAGATCTATATCAGAACCAGCAGAGCACCTAACATCAGGATATGGAATGCATAAGTGAGGAATAACTTTGAAGCTCTGCAAACCGTTGAATTTGATCAGTGAACTAGTTTTGTTTCACATTTTTAAGGCTGTAAAAATCAGGCACTGAACAGTGTTTTAAAGACGCTTGCATTCCGTTGTCTACCATTCTATGTTCTTATAATCAGTGAAGCCTTTCTCTTTGGATCAAAATCAAGTGAGATTTAACTGACAGGCACACAGTGTTGGGGAGTAACAGATTACATGTACCAGAGTTACGTAATCAGAGTACAAATTATGAGTATCTGTATTCAATTACAGTTACTGTTTCAGTGAGTGGTAATTGGATTACAGTTACTTTGTTGAAATAAATGGATTACAGGCGGTATTTTCCTGTTTTTACATTTTGGACTAAATCCAGGATTGAAACCAGGACTAAACCAGGACTAAAAGTAGGATTAAAATCAGGGCTAAACCACAACTAAACCAGGCCTAAATCAGGACTAAACCAGGACTAAAACCAGAACTGAAACCAGGATTAAAACCAGGACTAAATCAGGACTAAAACTAGGTTTAAAACCAGGACTAAACCAGGGCTAAACCACAACTAAACCAGGACTAAATCAGGACTAAAACTAGGATTAAAACCAGGACTAAACCAGGGCTAAACCACAACTAAACCAGGACTAAACCAGGGCTAAACCAAGATTAAATCAGGACTAAATCAGGACAAAACCAGGACTAAAACCAGAACTGAAACCAGGATTAAAACCAGGACTAAAACTAGGATTAAAACCAGGACTAAATCAGGACTAAAACCAGGACTAAAACTAGGATTAAAACCAGGACTAAACCAGGGCTAAACCACAACTAAACCAGGACTAAACTGGGACTAAACCAGGGCTAAACCAAGACTAAATCAGGACTAAATCAGGACTAAACCAGGACTAAAACCAGAACTGAAACCAGGATTAAAACCAGGACTAAATCAGGACTGAACCAGGTCTAAACCCGGACTAAACTAGGACTAAAATCAGGTCTAAACAATATGACACTAATAATAGGTGGACACAATTGAAGGCAGCAGTGATCTCATATAAAAATCATTTCTCCATCAATAATATTTTTAATACGGTTAAGTAAAGACTGGGCTTTTTATTTTTCTTTTAACAGACAAAACATCTTATGTTAAAATATTCTAGACTTTGCTTCTCTACAGCAAACAGTTACCTGTTCATGGAGATTTGGGCTCAACAGACAGTTTGAAGAGAACAAAAAACAATTTTCAGGATGTGGTTGTTACATTCATGTCATTTTAAAAAGTGTGACGATATCAAGTAATCCAAAGTATTCAGATTACGTTACTCACCTTAAGAAATTTAATGGATTACGTTACAAACTACATTTTGGGGTATGTAATCTGTAATCTGTAGGGGAATACATTTTAAAAGTAACCTTCCTAACACTGACAGGCACAGTCATAACAGAGATAGACAGTGGAAGAGTGACTGAGTGTACTAGTGTGCAAACATGAGTGGAGTAAGGCATCAGACACATGGGGCACATTCATCGCTTTCCTTCTGAGGCACAGTGGGTTGAGGGTTTATCAGATGCGTTGCTCATGGGCCGGGGCAGTTGTCTGGAAGTAGAACTTCAACAGTGAGACGGATGGTTTTGGGCTGCAGGAGGCTATAGGTGTTGTCGAAGCGCAAAACATCTGTGAATGGAGCAGGTTACAGAGTGATTACACAGATTATTCTCATACTTTATGGTGCATTAACTGCTAACACATCACATATGTTACCTTTTCTATATTTGCTGAAAACTACATATTAACATGTTTAATAAGTTTTAGTTTTGTTTTTGATGATGCCCCTCTTTGCTCCCCATGCGAAGTTACTCCCCTTCAGAGCACTATCACAACACAATTAGTGTGTGTCTCAGTAATGAAACTACTGCACATCACATCAGGTTTGTCAAGTTGCAGTGTACAATTTTGTATCATGTTTTGTATATTTATGGAGAATGGTAGTGTGGGAGCATGGGGGACATAGGCTTGTGGGCGGAGCATTGGAGGGAATGCTGTAATTCCAGTTAAACCAGCCAACTGTGAGGAGGGTTGGAAATGGGCCCGAGAGAGATCACTAGATTACTGAAATATGCCTGTATAACATGTAAAACCTCTTCAGGCATGATTTTGATGAACATGGCCACATTATAACAAGGTAGAAAGCTTTAAAAAGTCAATGAATATTAATTATTAATAATCTCCATGGAGATAAGCAGGTGATGAAGCATTCACAAGAAAGATTACAGTGTTAATTTTGATAAGATAACAGCATTATAACATGGCATAAAGTTATGTTAAAATAATGAGTCAATTCTGAGTAATACTGGACCTTTAAAGCTCGTTGCATTGTTTACTTGTCAGTCACATGAACATTGTACATTTGACATAAAGCAACCTACTTTATATCACATTTTAGATGTTTTTTTTCTTCAAATTCTCCACTGAAATTGAAATGTTAAATGGACCACAAAGAAAACATGGTTTAGTAGCATTTATAGGCAAAAATGGGTGGGCTGGATAAGGTTAATAGTTCAAAGTACTCAAGTTCAGATTCTACATTCAAGCCACTGAACTTGGTTCAGTGGCTTGAATGTAGAAATGCCCGAGACACAGTACTCACAGACTCCAGGCACTTCACACGTCAGAGATCCATCCTCGGGCACCAGGTGGGCATTGTAGCGCTGGCTGACCACCACTTCCCTCATCTGGGATGCTTTCTGACGATCAGCCTTTTGACTCTTCAGGAAGACACCAAAGCCAATGTCACCACTGTCACTGCAAAACTGCCACCTGCACACAGCACTGGCTTCAGGGCTACCATCATGGTTCATTATGGAAAGTAAAGACGCCAGAGTACTGCGTTCTGAAGACTTGGAACACATATGGAACAGACTGAGTTGCATTATATTAAGAGGCATATACAGTATACAGTTGATGTATGCTAGATTAAAAATTTCATAAACATGACCTGTGCCCAGAGCTACGTTGGATTTGGATATTTACTGTATTTTCTATTTTCAAACTGTTTTCACAAATAAACCGCACTGGACTTTAAAGGAAACACAACAGTGTGATGGGTGAGTGGTTTTGTTTGTTTGGCACGTTCACGGTGACTCTAAGCTTTGTTCAGTTGTGGTGTGTAGGGAGGGTGCTGTCTGGGGCCGCTGGATTGTCGGCGTGTTCACAGTGACTCAGTTGTTCAGTCATGTCTAGAAGTGGCACACTGCACTCGCTTTTTCGGTTCGTTCCTCCGTTCCGTTCCTCGTCGGCGTGGAGTGATGAGTGTGTCTGTGGGTGTTTTTGGCTGTGCGGTCGCTGTCTGCTCCGTGTGTGTTTGTGTGTTCTGCAGGGTGGTGCAGCTTTGTAGTTTACTGAAGTTGTGCTGGGACACTCGTGTGGATTCTTGTATAGGGCGCTCTGAATTGTGGCGTGCATTCGTTTTTTGATGGGGTTAGAGGCTTAAGCCCGGAAAATACGGTAAATCCAGTAAGACCCTCTTTGATCTGAATGGTCAGTACCTAAACCTCAGCACCTGCACCAATCATGAGTCAGTGCTACTGCAGCCTCTGCGGCTCAGGGAGGGAATTCTGGAAGTTCTGAACTTATGCATATCTGTGTGTGTGTGTGCATGTGTGCGTGGGCAAGTGCATACCTGAGCACACAGCCGGGCAGCAGGATGTCGTAGTCAAGCTGTCGTGTGGAGCGGCGGCTCACACTCAGGCTCTGCTCGTACTCCACCTTCACATGGTCTCTGACGTAGTAGGAGCGTGGCACAGGGCCCACGTGGTTAATCTACAGAGAGAGGAAGAGGAAGAGGCCTATTAATACTTTGTAGTGACATCATGCTGAGGGTGTTCTGCATGTATATCTAAGGTGGAATGTTCAGCAGTTACCATGGTGGCACAATGCAAACACAATTAACAAACACTCTCTGAAATGTTTTAGAAGAAAAAAATACAGCTGTGATTGAATTCATTTTCAGGAGCCTGTGATCAGTCCAAAGTGTTCATGGTCCAGTTTAGGAATTTGATTTTCAACAAAAAGGTGATAGCGACTCACTGAAAAAAACTGTTGGCTAATGTTAGCTAGCTTGTGACGGTAGTCTTACTCGAGGGACTTGTTTAAAAGCACAAATCAGATCACCTGCTGTAATTCCAGCTAAGTCAGTCCAAAGCCTCAGACGCTTCAGTGCTTACAGTTAGCATCACACTCCCAGCATCACGAGGACGTCAGATGTGTTCAAAAGTATCAAAATGATGCCATTTTCTGATCTGTTATGTTTATCCATGTTTCCTCCTCACACACACACACAGACACACACACACACGCACACACGCACACACACACGCACACACACACACACGCGCACACACGCACACACGCGCACACACGCACACACACACAGACACACACACCGACTTGTGTTTTGTTTCATTAGGATGACCAAACGTCCGTATTTCCCCGGACATGTCCGTATTTTGGGTCATGTCCGGGGCGTCCGGGTTTTTTTTTTTTTTTTTTTTTTTTTTTTTTTTATAAAGTGATGCAAATGTCCGGGTTTTCATTACCGCTCATTAAACTGAGCGTCTCTTGTACCGTCTGTGACTCAGAAGGAGCGAGACACAAACAGTCGGTGAGCCTGCAACATGCCGAAGCACAAATGCGCATTAACAATGACTTGTACAAGAAATTCTCCGTTTTCCGTCCTGGTCGAGACAAGTGGGAGGTCATGTGCACAGGTTGTGAGTGAGAGTACAGTGTCCCTTGTTTATCGTGGGGGTTACGTTCTAAAAAATAACCCGCGATAGGTGAAATCCACGAAGTAGTCATCTTTATATTTGACAGTTATTCTATCTGTGTTAAGGCTGTAAAACCCCTCACCACAAACTTTATACACTTTTCTCAGAAAGGACAGCTACAACCCTTTTTACTTCCTTCTTAAAACTTATTGCTGCTGTCGTCTTTGTGTTATTTTCCTCCTTCTTTATGTAACAAACTGAAGATTCATTTATTCCATAATGGAGCCCAACAGCGCAGAGTCCCGCACGGGTCCATTTTTGGAGACCCCCAGTACAACACCGCACCCGCCAGTACAGGACCGCACCTGCCGGTTAACCCGAGATTATATCAAATTTTTGCGCTGCCTACGCCACGGATTGAACCAATACTAAACCAGGACTAACCCAGGACTGATTCCAGGACTGAAGAGGAGGACTAATCCACGACTGAACTAGGACTAAAACAGGACTAAACCAGAACTGAAACAGGACTCACCGTCAGGACGGGCTTTGAAGTGACTCAGGAGAATGGACCGGCTCAGCTCCGCACCTCACGGAGGTAAGTGCCCGATCGCGCTTTGCGGACAAACTGCTCGGCGTTTTCTCTTAAGTCCAAGATTAGTCCTGGTTTAGACCTGGTTTAGTCCTGACCCACCCGTGTGTCATTACTACCCGCCTGTAATACACAATACGCGTTCATACGCTGTAAAAAATTGCACACACAAAAAAAAAATCCGAGAAACGCTGAGACCCCCCTTACACCCTTGTCATCAGAAAGCCCCCTAGTCAGAAGGCCCTGTAGTGAGAAGGTCCACTAGTCAGAAAATCATTCCCTCTTCTATTGGTTTGTCAGCAACATATCTCTTGAACAACTGAATGTATATTTGATGAAAGCAACAGGGAATAATTCCTGGATATCAGGGAAGAATTTGTAAACTTTTGGATGTATACCAATTAAAAATGGCTGCAACATCAACATTTTTTGAGATATTGACAGGAAAACGCATAATCATGCTTAACAGCATTAGCTAAGGCCAGCATGACTTAATTTGTTGGTTTACAAACCCACTAATGCTATATTAAAAGAAAAAGATTTAAAATAAAATTGAAATGAAGGTTGTAGAGCTCCAATTACTGAACATTTTGCAAGTTGTTGCCTGAAAATCAGACAATTATTAACCCTGTTACATTTAAGACAGACATTTGCTGTATTTTAAGGGTTTAATATATTTATTATTTTTAATATTTACTTTTTTAAATATTTAAAACTTGAAATACAATTTCATTTGTAACAATTTGTAACACTACAGTACCTGAACATGGATTTGTTTTGACTAGAGGGCCTTATGATGATAAGGCTGACTCCGGTAATACAGCAAGTGCTCCACTGTGTTTTTAAACTTTATACACCTTCACAAAAATCATTATAATAATAACAACAACAACAAATTCAGACCTAGAAATTCCAATCTATACTGAATTTAAGGTAAAAGTTAACTTCAGAACTTTAACAGTATTTGAGTATTTTGAGCTTTGAGGAAGCCTAATAATAAAAGATTATTAAGAAATGAATAATCTTATGAATGAAACAAAACTCACCTCCTGGTATGTTTGAACTTAACAACATTCTAACCATGGCCTTAAAGCTCACTAGTCAGTTTTGCATAATATATAACCTGTAAAGTGGAACTAAACACTACTAAACTGTGTATATCGTTTTAACAGCATTGTGCTGCCTTAAGAGACCACTGCAGTTTCAAGTAGTTGATGACATCACAGAAGACTGCCCTAATTACAGCCAAGCCTTCCTGAAATATGTATACTTGTTAGACCAGTCATACTGTTCTTTATAACACCGTCAGACTCCGCTCCTCCTCCTCCGTCACTCTCACTTTTAGTCCTCCAGGTACTGCTCAATTAAGCAGCTCTGTCTGAAGAATTGCTATGTGACATTTTACCAAGTGCATGACTCTAGGTTTGAATATACTGAAAAAGCAAGTTACAGTCCAGTGGGCAGGGACAGGGGGTACGGGGACACTTCAAGAAGCACTCAAGCTGAAACAATGCAGGATTACTCAAACATACAAGAAAGTGATAAAACAGAAATCAGACTAAGCTAATGATAAGTTAACATTGATCTAACATATTTAATATAATGCTCCCTTTTGGCTGTAAACACTGTGATAAAATTACTGTAGGTTAAATTGTTAGTCTTTTTTGAGACTTGTTTCAGTATTGATTATTGATCTAATGAGTATGCAGTTTAAATATATTAGTATGTGAATTTACACTACATTATTATTTATTATCTTTTATTTTATTTATATGCCTGAGAAAGAACTGAAACAAGCCAAAAAACAACTTACCTCAGTCAGTGCCACACACCAGCACATTTCACCACTCACTTCAACAAACATTCAGCAAGCAGCCAGCAGAGGGAGCTGCACTTCCCCCTCTGGCTTCAGGGCTGACAGCCGACATCACAAGTAACACTTTCACAAACATTTTATTGAAGACCATACAAAAGGAGCAGCCCCAAAGGCAAACACACACATTTCTCTAAACATCACGAATTCTATCCTGTCACATTCTAGAATGTGATGATGTCATCATTTTAGATGGAGGGCAGGAGCTTAAATGTATGTAACTCTATGAGAGATTCAGTTTGGAAAAACAAAAAACAAAAAACACATCTGATCTACAAATGTAGTTTGATCTTGCCATATTGATCTTATGGCTTAAAGTCCTTTCAGCTGACAACAGTTATGTCTTTGGGGTGGAGTAATGGCACCACTTTTATTGCTGATATCTCTGTGTATATCTTATACAGAGATAGTGGAACAGAGTGTGGGCCCTACGCCCTGTCACGTCTCGAACCAAAACCGAACATGAGCGTTCAGGTGGCTCATCTATCATTCTGAACAAAAACCTTTCTCTCCTCAGCTCAGATTAACAGAGTTTAGTGCTTTGCTCATTGATTCTGCCCCATGTTATTTCTTCTCTTTTTTCCTTGTAAGCAGCCATATTTGTTTTAATACTGACAAACTATATGTGTCCCTGACCAGATAATTCACCTGTTAATCACGCCCATATGAACTCAGGGAGACTCACATTTTCACTAAGTACTGAAAAATAGTGCATACTGGAACATTCTTTCAAGCAACAAAATAACATATTGCTGAAGATGATTTTGTGGATAGGCCATGTAATTACACAGATATGAAGATACAGCCATGTCATTAGCAGATTATAAATATATACACGCGGCAACCGCAGAGCCAGAGACTGGACCAGGTCTAAACCAGGACCAAACCAGGACTACACTAGCTCTCCTTGGGGTCACATTGACCCGAAGAAAACATTTTTCCTTCCCTTCCTTTCCTGTCCTTCTTGGGGTGGGTCAATCAGACCCAAAAATTAATTTTGAAATAAATTTTTGCCAGGCAAAAAAATACATTTTTGGATCTGATTAATCCAAGAGAGCGGGAAGGATATATATTTTTTCTTTTCTGTCAATGTGACCCCGAGGACAGCGTGAGGGCTAAGAGCGCAGCTGCCAAGCCGATCACCTCCACTGATGGTTTTATGTAATAAATACACTAAAGTCTCTCTCAGCCAGGTCTCTCATCGTTCCCGGGAAACCGCCGCAAAATGAGTGCGTCTACGTGCACATCAGTATCCCGGTTATGATCGGATTTTTGAGTATCCCGCTCCTGGTTTAGACCTGATCCTGTCCTGGTCCAGTCCTGGTGTAGTCCTGGTGTAGTCCTGGCGATCGGCTCTGTGCCCCCCCCCCCCCATCCCTACCCCCAGCATCTCTACTGTGTGTGTAAGGTCGGACTAATGGGCTTTTCGGACCAACAGGCTGATCCCGCAGTGATGTGTACGACATTTTAGCTATAGAAAGTTGCAACGATTTAGCTAAAACATGTGAACGAATGAACTAAAACGTGGTGTAGCGACAATTTTACTCCTAACCTTTTGTCGTTTCTGGGTGCAGAGGATCCAGGCCTAACGCACTACCAGGTTGGTACAATACATTATAAAGCAGAAAGGAGTAGAGTGGGTGGATAGATGCAAAGTAATATTATCTAGTTGAATAGTGAAAGTTTGACCACCAACCAGAAAGAGAGCAGTAAAAACCATGTGACCTCCTGTCACCCATACACCCAGTACAGTGGCACCTGTGAGTTCATGGGGTTTGACTCCACCCTGCCCTCTTGTGGCCAAGCCGAATATAGGTCACCCTGTGCCCAGACATAAACAGCGACCCAAATTAACCCCAGTCTAAACGAAAGAAGAACACGTGGCAACGATTTAGCTAAATCGTGGGAACAAATTAAATAAACGTAGGAACGAAATAATCATTTGAGGTCGATTTAGTATCTTATGTACGTTATCAGGAGAGCTCCAGAGAATTCTGCCAGTGCAATGTCATCACCATGTTTAACTCTACTTCCTCTAATTCTCTACATATTTTTCAACTTTTCTCCACAAATTGCTTCTTAATTGGTGTACATTTATAATTTAAATATAAATAACATTATCAACAGAGAATTAAGTCAAAATGAGACAATCATCAAACCCTGTCATCTACACTTTTAACTCCATTTGAATAAAATATGTTGTCCAATCTCAAGTCATGTGCACTTTAAGCTCTAGAGCAGGGGTGTCAAACTCATTTTGGTCCGGGGGCCATATCCAACCTACTTTGATCCCAAAGGGGCCGGATCAGAAAACTCATGGCATATAAACCCCAGAAATAACAATAAGTACAAATATTTGTGCAGAGAAATGCAAATCTATTACAGAAATCTTTTTTTTTTATTGATGAACTCTTTCTTTTACAAAATATTATAATATTAAGAACAACCTGAAACTTTAAGAAAAATGCAATTTCAACATTAACAATGTTTTAACATTAACTTGTATGTAAATAGGAATAAGTCAAATTTTCTTGGAAAATCCTGCACTTGGTGTCCACTTTTCTAATTTTTGACATTTTGCTGATGAGGGTGTCACGGTTAAAAGTCCAAACGATCGTCCTTTAAGAGCGTTTGGAAAGAGGTAAGTCTTCATTTGTGCTGCTCTGGTGGGAGGGGCCACGCACAGAGGCGCTGGAGACGCTGATATGCTAAGCAGTGCGGAAAATTACCAATATTTTAATAGAAAATATAATTAAAATATTTTTGTAGAAAATCAGCTGAGGGCCAGATTAAAGGTCTTGAAGGACCGGATCTGGCCCCCGGACCATATGTGTGACACCTGTGCTCTAGAGATTGTACATTGTGCTGTAAGATGTGATTTCCTCGGGTCTTCCACACAACACAGCCCAGGAGAGTGCACCTGCATGGGCCACACTCTACAGCAGAGGCTGGCTCTCTCTGGGACAGTGCTGGAACTCCTTTGTCTCCTGGGGCCAGTTAATCTGAGGAGACGCCACAGGGAGAGTCAGTTTGAGGGGTAAACCCAGAGCAGGGCTGAGGTAGAGGGTAGTGTAAGGGCATCCTATATATATCCTATAGGGTCTCTGCAGGCAACCAGAGGTGGGTAGAGTAGCTAAAAAATTTAGTCGGCTCAAGCAAGAGTAATGCTACTTTGAATATTATTACTCAGTATCATGTGTAGTGGAATGAGAAGAGTAAGCAAATTGTATTCAAGTAACACTACCTACTGTTACTTCATTACCCATGTAGTTAAAATCATGATTTCCAAAAAGCACTCCTGGAAGTACAATTTCTTTCAAAACTTACTCAAGTAAATGTAAGTAAGTACTACCCACCTCTGTACATGACAACAGGCTCCATTCTCACTTGGGGGCTGGGTCTCTACAATGTATCAGCTCATATTGTTGTATACTGTTTGTTGCCATTTTGATCATTAGGATAACAACTCTCATGGCTGCAGTATTTGAAGTTTTATAATTTTCTACACAAACAGCAAAATATCCTGTCTTTTTTGCTGCATAAAGGCTGCAAACCCTGTAGTTTAGAGCTGCACAATATGTTCTGAAATGCGATTCTTGTATTGGTTTGTTAGTTCAGATTTTAGTCTTTTTTTGTCAGTTCTTCTGGGTGCATCTAAAATGTGAATTTTGAACAGAATTCTCTAATTAAAACATACATTGCAAATCTGATCACAAACACAATGCTTGTCAGAAAACTCACAATTAGATATTTTTTTCCCAGATCATTCAGCCCTAAAGTCTCTCCGTTTTGGCTCTCAGACACAGAGCCATATTGTTGAACATTCAGGCCATTTACCTACATATATCTACATCTATATATCTACATAGATCACACCTGCTGCTTGTGTCCAACCAGAAAGTTACAAGATTTGTAATTAAAATCTTAAATGGGATCATGTTTTAGTGAAATTAGTAGACTAAGCTGTCATATGCACTTTACTGTCAGTACCCAGCCCCACACAGCAAAAAGGGACATAACTACTTCAGCTACTGCAATTACAACAACTACTACTAAAACTATTGCAATTACAACAACTACTACTAAAACTACTGCAATTACAACTACTACTACTAAAACTACTGCAATTACAACAACTACTACTAAAACTACTCCAATTACAACTACTACTACTAAAACTACTGCAATTACAACAACTACTACTAAAACTACTGCAATTACAACTACTACTACTAAAACTACTACAATTACAACAACTACTACTAAAACTACTGCAATTACAACAACTACTACTAAAACTACTGCAATTACAACAACTACTACAACACCATCCAAAGGTTTAAAAAGAGAGAATGGCAGAGTTGCAGTCACATAAGATAATTAATTTCATTTGCAAAAAAAGAGGAGATGCCTTTTAAACCTTCTTGTTGTGATTCAAACTGTTCTGTGTCTCTGTTACATTATGGAGGGGGCCAAGCCACACACTCACCCATGTGCGGCAACGGGGGTCTCCGTCAGGGTCCGTCCTCGTGCCTCCGTAGATGGCAGGGAGCTCTTCTACATCAATGTATTTCAGCAGCACTTCCTGCCAATTTGCTAAACCAACAAACATCATCAGAGCAGTAGAAGGTAACCTGGCGTATATTACAAATTGGACTGTCAGCATTGAAAAGCAAATAATAATCTATACTAAAAGTAGTATTGAAACTAAGTACTAATTTGAGCAGCTATCAATACAGCTATCAAAACAATGTTTTGTTTTGTTTTTGAACAAAATGATCTTTCACTCCCCTCAGATGAACAGAGTTTAGTGCTTTCATCATAGTACTCTTTTCTATTCCCATGTGTCTTTATATGTGTGTAATCCCTCAGTGGTCCAGTAGGTTCCATAGTGTCCATGGGCGTGTACTAGTCTATGTGCTCTTCTACTTGCTCTGATAGAGCCCCAGATCATTCTAAAGCTGTTCAGGAAAGACTCATTGCTCAAATGAGTATCTAGTTTCAATATTAGTTTTAATATTGATTAGTATCAGATTTTCGATACATTTAACAACCGTATTCACAAGCAATGTCAATGTATACATTGTAAGAATTGTGAACAGAAACAGCGTGGCGCTCACCTCCGAGGATGTGGATCTTGTGACGCGTGTTCTCGCTCAGGAAGTGTTTAACCAGGTTGTAGGCCACAGGGAAGAGCTTGGGCGCTGAGCAGACAAAACACTCATGCTTCATCCCAATGTCTGAATCCTATCTTATTTCAGACTAAACCATCTGAACCCACCTTTGATGACGAACAGACGCTTCAGACCCTCTGGGTAGTTGTCCTCAAACATCTGCAGGATCTACTCACAAGAGAGCAAAAGTGGGTAGTACTCAGCTACATTTACTCATTACATTTAATGAAGTAACATTTTAAAAGGAAAATGTGCTTTTAAGAGTACCATTCTTCAAACATACTTTTACTTTTATCCAAGGAACTCTGACTGCATTTAAAGTCCTTTAATATATAAAAAGGGACTAGCCTAGGTGTTTCAGCAGCATGGGCCTTTTTCAGGCCATACAAGAAAGAAAGGTGCCAGGTGCATTTAAACAGAACCGGCAACCAGCACTGTGACCATTGAGGGAAGCCACAGCACAGTGGGAAACATGTCACGCCCTTGCCTGAGACCTGAGTCTTCATTGTTGTGTGTGTGGACGTGGGCAGAGTCTGCTGGGAGGACCTGCTCTCACTCTGCACTCAGGCCCCATGCTGCCGAAACACACTGGCTAGTCCTGTTTTATATACAGTATTAAAGGACTCTGAACGCAGTCAGAGTGCTTCGGATTTTTTCTTTTTAATGTTTGTAAATGAAGTTTTTCCACTGTGATCTTGATGAGCATCTGACCTGAGCATTAATTGACCCACTCAAGCACTCATCTTTCTCTCTTATACTTTTACTCCCATTGAGTAAAATTTATTTTTGAAGAACATTTACTCAAAATGCTGTGGTTCCTCTTCCCACTGTGACTAAGTCTACAAATGACAAAAGCTTTATATTGACAATATGAAATTGAATGTTTGTGTTCCTTACAGCACTCCTTCAGTTATGATGTAGTTTGTCTCATTTTTGTGTCTGCCCTTTGGAAAGACCAGATTTTGTGACTTATTTAATTCATGTTTTGTCCTTTCAATGACATTAAAGAGAGGGTATTAACTTCTATGATGAATTTACTGCTAACACATAACATATCACCATGTCACCTTTTATTGTTTTTAAAATGTTTTTAAAATGTGTGTATCACACTAATGAACTACTGCACATTCCATCAGGTCAAGTTGTTGCGTACAATTCTTTATCATGTTTTTGTATAATTATGGAGAATTGTCGTGTGGGAGCATGGGTGATGTAGACTTGAGGGCGGAGCCTTGTACTCTTACAGGTAACTGTAAACAGAACATGTTTTTGATGAGGAAACAATGTGACATGGTAGAAAACTCCAAAAATCAATTGCATAATACTCCCTCTTTAGGCAATAAGATTAATGTAAGATTTGGGGTGACATTGACTCAGTGGTTAGCGCAATTGTCCCCCCAACCCGAAGGTCACAGGATCAATTCCCGTTCAGACCAAGTCTTTAGGCAAGACACTTACCCCACATTGGCCATGAATGTAGTGTGTGTGAGTGTTGGTGGGGGAAGGGCGATGGCTGGGCCCAGGGCAGCTGTGTCTACAATAGTATCTTAACACCATGAAGTGTGAAGTGAATGAATAACACTGTGCTTTGGGTGTCTTGAAAAGCACTACTGTATGTATGTATCCATTACATTATAGTGAGAGAGAGAGAGCTCAGGTTGGCATACGCCCCAAAACTATTTGTTACCATGGAAATCCCTCATGTTTGAGGTGGAGGCACCTGGATAGTGCTCAGTATTTCTCTCTACATAAGTGACATACCTCTCCATATGTTTCTATGGCTGGTTTCCATAGATGCTTCAGCCCCAGACCCTCCACATCATAGATCATAGTGATGGACTCCACGTTTCTGTTGAGCTGTGCACAGACACATGTGAGCCCTATATGAACACAAGTGTGATGTGTAGACGCTTTAAGAGTGTGAATATTCAATAGAGCAGGATGGAAGCAACTCGAGGCAAAATTACTATAACACATTTTCAATAATTACCTGACAATACTACTGGCTTTTAGTGTCAGTTTTCTTTTCTGTTACAAGGCATGGAAAATAGGCTATGCTAAAAAATAGTATTATATGTGGTTAAGTATGTATTAGTTAGTACTAATTCTACCTAATACATAGTTAGAGTTAGGGTTACACTACATTCAAATTACACTACTAAATATAATGTTCAGTCAATGGTAAAAGTCTTTAAACCTTGCTCTGATATCAGTGTTTTTAGCCTTTGCAGAGTGACTTGACTCTGACAGACAGTGCTGTGTATGTGGCTCACTCTCTCAGACTGCCGGTCGCACTCTTGCTGCAGCTGCTCACAATCGCGGATCTTGGACCTGATGAAGTCCTGTTTTGAGGCAGACAGGAAGAGGCCCTTGGGGTCCATGGGGCCGATCACATCGTACCACACCGGGCTGCCCTCGCGGTCGTAGCCACACATGCCTCCAGACAGATACTTCTCTATCACCTGGGACCACAGAGGGAAAGCTGGTCATTACAAGTACTCATGTTACTGTAGTACATTTTGAAACGTGATGTTGCGATAACAAACAATAACGAACCATAATATTGAAACTCATTTGTGCCACTGAAACAATAAGCCTAAAGCAGATTAAAACTTCAAAAAACTGTTCTTAATGTACAATACTGTTAAAAAATAAGAATGGGCTGCAATAGATAAACACTTACTAACTAGAAATTACTTTGCATCTGTAATGAGTCATAAAAGTTAATTAAAGCTTTTACGGAGTAAATCTTGTATAGCAAAAAAATAATCAAAAATTCTTCCAGTAAAATAAAAATATTGTTTCATATATTGAATGATAAGTCAAGAGTAATTATCATGACAGGTTTTTGTTATTGTAAATGAGTAAAATTAAGTCCATTTGTCTCATCTTGTCATTGCTAAGTAGTCTATATCATCCAGTGTTTGAATAAAAGTTTTTATGTTATGGTTGATGTGTGCCTGTATTCTGTTTTGTGCTTCTGTTTTATGCTGCCTCTTGGCCAGGTCATCATTGCAAATGAAAAGATGTTCTCAACTGACTTACCTGGTAAAATATTGAAGAAATAATATAAATAAATAAATGTTCTACACAGACTACTAGTTACTAGTTAAATTTTAACCGATTTATTAGTATTAGTTTGGAACTGTATATATAAATTAAATAGTTTAAAGATGAATTTAGTCATTTCAAACCATAATCTGCATCAGTGCAGGTGATGCTGTTACACGTTATTTATCTGTTTGGAGAAGAGCAGAGGCAGCCATCAGCAGCCTATGTCTGTTTGGATCGCCATCACCATTCTGTCAGTCTGTATCTGGAAGTCCCACAGGATCTTGGCTCGGTCGTTCTCCACAATCTTTGGAGGTGTTTCCCACCGTGACCTTGGGGTCTCCAGCTCGTACTCTGCACAGATGTTTCTGTATACTATGCCTGCCACTTAGTTATGTCGCTCCATGTATGCGTGCCCTGCAGCATCTTACACCCTGCAGTTATGTGCTGGATTGTCTCAGGAGCCTCTTTGCACAGTCTACACCGTGGGTCTTGTCTGGTGTGGTAGCTCTGGGCCTCTATTGCTTGAGTGCCCATGACCTGCTCCTCAGCAGCCAGGATGAGAGCTTCTGTGTGTCCTTCAGACCAGCCCTCTTAAGCCATTGGTAGGATTTCTTGATATCAGCCACTTCAGTTATGTTCCGGTGGTACGCCCCGTGTAGGGTCATGTCCTGCTGATGATGGTCCCTCCAGCACCTCTTCCTCTGGACCCCACTGTCTGAGACATTCTCTGAGCACCTCATCTGTCGGGGCCTTGTCCTTGGTGTACTCAAGGAGCTTGGATGTTTCATCCTGAACAGTGGTTCCCACAGTCACTAGTCTTCGGCCTCCTTCCTTCCGGCTTGTGTACAATCTCAGGGTGCTGGATTTGGGATGGAACCCTCATGGTCAGGAGCTTTCATGTCTTAACATCTGTGGTCTGTATCTCCTCCTTTGGCCAGTTTACGATTCCTGCGGGGATCTGATCACTGGCAAGGGCGTAGCTGTTGATTGACCTGGCCTTAGGACTTGCCTCACTCTTTGCAGGTATTTGGCCGTAGCCGCTTTCCTTGTTGCCTCTTCGAGGTTGCCATTTGCTTGTGGGATACCAAGGTACTTGTAACTGTCCTCAACGTCTGCTATTGTTCCCTCTGGGAGTGAGACCCCCTCTGTGTGGACTACCTTCCCTCTCTTTGTCACCATCCTGCTGCATTTCTCAAGCCCGAATGACATTCCAATGTCTGTACTGTAGACTGGTGGGGTGGATCAGTGAGTCGATGTCTCGCTCACTCTTAGCATACAGCTTGATGTCATCCATGTAGAGAAGTGAGTGATGGTGGCCCCGTTTCTGAGTCAGTATCCGTAGTCAGTGTGGTCGATGATTTGGCTGAGGGGGTTCAGACCTATGCAGAACAGCAGTGGGGACAGTGAGTCTCCTTGGTATATGCCACATTTGATTGACACTTGTGTAAGTGGCTTCCCATTGGCTTCAATGGTGGTTTTCCACAACCACATCAAGTTTGCAATGAAGGCCCTTAGAGCTGTGTTGATATTGTACAGCTCCAAGCACTCAGTGATCCACGTGTGTGGCATTGAGTAGGCTTTCTTGTAATCAATCCAGGCAGTGCACAGGTTGATCTTACAGGTTCTGCAGTCACAGGCATCTGTTCAGTCAACCAGGAGTTGGTGTTTGGCTCCCCTGGTGTTTTTGTTGATGCCTTTCTGTGCTGCGCTCATGTATTGATCCATGTGCCCATTTATCTTAGCCGCGATGATGCCTGACATGGGCTTCCATGTTGTGGAGAGACAGGTTATTGGCTGATAGTTGGATGGGACTGCACCTTTTGAGGGGTCCTTCAGGAGGAGCTACTAGTTGTTAGTTAGCTTGGACTGTGAGTATCGTAATAACCATTTCTTCCACATCCTGTTCATGTAACCCCTCTGACTCAGGTTACTGTAGTAGTATTCCAACAGAGCCTTGTTCTTGCATCTCGCCCATTTCCTCCATGTTCCAGTAGCCCATTTTTCATCAATGTGCTCTGGTTCCCCAGCACCTGATGCAGACCTTGTCTGGCCGGGCGACGCCTGAGCCGGCATCTTGTAAGTTTCATTGTCTCTCATTGTTGTATTTGAACCCTGGTCCCCCAAGTGAAAGTCCAGTGACTTACCAGTTTAGCTAACCAGATAGATAGATATATCTAGATAGATAGATAGATAGATAGATAGATAGATAGATAGATAGATAGATAGATAGATAGATAGAGAGAGAGAGAGAGAGAGAGAGAGAGAGAGAGAGAGAGAGAGAGAGAGAGAGAGAGAGAGAGAGAGCGAGCAGTTTTACCTCGGGGGGGCGCCACTCTGTGAGAATAACGTCTACACCCATTTGCCTTCTGAAATCCAGATGCTGCAAACACAAGTACAAAACATGAGGCCTCATTCATGAAACATTCTTACAAACAAATTGGTACTTAAGTCCTTCTTACAAACAATTCTGGCATTCACAAAACTTTTTCTTAACTAAAAATGTTCTTTTGTAAGAACAAATCCTACGAACAGACAAGAAAACTCATAAGAACAAAAATTCTACTGTTTTTGAATATTATTAGTCTCATAATGCAAAAAAAAAAAACTGAAATTCCTCCATGATTGTAAGTTATATATTTTATTTATTTTATTAAATGAGTTCCTTTAAGCATATTACTCCAATAACATTTATGAGGGGTTTCTGTTGGGTCTAACCAACTTTCTCCAGGCTGCAGTGAGCCTCACTCTGTCCAGTGTCCCAGTGCCTCCATATGGGCCTCTGTCACAGCTCTGCGCCTGGTCACCCCGCTGGACTCAACACCCCCATCACTCCCATCACCCCCATTCACCCCCCATCACCCTGCCTGTCTCCCCCTGACCCGAGCGCACTTTGAGGTGCCCCATTCCAGCCCCCCTTCCTCGCTATTTACCACAGGTCTGCGGTCACAGAAAGCGTGATAAATATGATAAAAGCGACCTCTTATTTCAATAAATGTGTGACTTAAATCTTCCCTCCCTCAGTGTATTCATGTGAGTTTGGACATTAATTAATTAATTAATTCATTCATGACTGGACCTCTTTATTATTAGCTTAAAGGGCCCATATTAGGCTATTTTCTAATCTATGTTATAATGTTTCCTCATCACAAACAGACCAGGGGCCTCATTTATAAAAAACTGCGTACGAGTTGTCGTAAGCTCGAACGTACGCCTAGTGGTCAAGAGACACGTGCGGCACGCAAACTCCATATTTAGGAAACCCACCGCACGAACTAAACCACGCAATCTTTGCTTTATAAATCCCACCTACAGCTAGAATCAGCGCACATAAACTACGTCACGTCACGCCTTCTCCACACCTCCACCTCACCATAAAGGAGCAGGTAAAGTGACTGGTGAATGATATTTCCCTAAACATGAGCCGATAATCAGTGGGTTTGACGGACACACGCAGGACAGAGGGAGGAGGACGCACCACGCAGCACCACGTGATCACGACAAAGCCTTAAATAAGGTTGAACAAATAAACACAAAAGTGAAAGTGACAACAACGACTCACCTTTTCATTTAATAATATTTCATAATATTTAGGCAGCACATCTTTGCAGTAAAGCTCATGTGTTTTCTTGCTGTTTAAAGAGTTTTACTGTTATATTTTTAAGTCTGTCTATGACGTGTGTGGGGACTGACCTTGCATATATGTGTATAAAACGCGCTGTTGTAGTCGCCATTTGGACTGCCCCATGTTCCCTCTAGTGGCCACTATAATGGTTCGGTCTTTTTTGCGAGCATGTTTGGTCTAGTCCTGCCCAGTATTATGTTGAGCGGCTGTTTCGAGTGTGATGTGTTGGACAAGTACTACTGTGTGCGTAAATAATGTGTTGCCGTGTATTTCTGTTTATAATATGTATATCCTTATTATGTGTATTTGTTCAGGCATCCAAATGTAGCCAATATTTTGAGTTCAGTTTAATAATATAATCCTGTTTGTGATTTATACCTGGTGTTTATCCTTATGTAAGTATGCAAGCTAGTATTATTGTTTTCACCTTCATATCTTACTTCTACATCAAATGTTATAATCTTAAGTCTTAAGTTTTTTTCTTTGTTCAAACCTTGCAGTACATTTTTCTAACCAAAAGAGGGCGCTGTTCAGTCACTTTTAATCTTTGTTACTGTCACATTATTTACCTGTGTATTTACCTGTATAATATTTGATTTTAATTATTTCCTTTATGCTGTTTTTGTTACAGAAAGCCACACACAGACAAATCAACACATGTATGCACATGCTGCTACTGTTCATGTTTAAATTGGATTAAAGTTCATTGTCACTTATCAAGTCTCCTGTGCCTTCTAACCAAGGATAGGAAAATCTAGCTGCAACCCCTCAGTACTTTGCACACATACATGTTCCCAACAAGTGGTCCTTCAAGCCAAGAGGGTTGACAGCTTTTCCTAATGGAGACATCAAGGCAGTATGAAGAAGACAAGCAAGTTATCCGTCCAAGGAGGCTCCATTGGCTCCTGGGACATCTGGAGGACTTTGTTCTGGCCTATCCTGTCCATCAGCCTGATGCAGTAGTTTCAGAGGCTAATATGAACATTTCGAGCAGTAACATGGTACCGGCATATCCAACATCCACTCCAGTACATCCAGAAGTCGGAATCGATAGGACACCAGAGATGGAGAAATTGAGAAGGATGGAACGGTGTGTATCACAAGTGCAAGACCAAGTGAGGGAGTTACAGAGCACATTGTGAGCATCTCTAAATCTTGGCAGAGTGAGATCACAAGTGCCGCTGTTCCCACCAGCATGGAGCTCTATTATGCCTCTACTAACTGTTGATGATGCTCCTTCTATCAAAGAATCTGCTATGGGCAGTCTGGAGAACATTGCCCCTCTTCCTTCATTATCACCTGGTCCTGAGCAGACAAACTGTACAGCAAGCCTCTCCTCCCACAGCTGTGCCTCCCACTCCTCAGTTCACAGCGCCTGCTTTCAGTGGAGTGGGAGCTACAGCTCAGCAGCCTGTTTATATTATCTCTTCTATGCAGTCTACAGCTAGATCAGCACCAGTGGTATCCTGGCCTGCAGTGCCAGCCGCAGACCAACCACATCTGCCCTGGCAGCAGCAGCAGCAGCTAAGAGACTTAAACTGCCCCCCCCTGCTATTCTGCCTGGTCTACACAACCCAGTGCTGGACAGTACAGTTACCCGAGACCAATGCAGAGCCAGCCTTCTGTATCTTTCCCTTCTCCCATGCCAGCTCCAGGCTTATTACCCTGGACGTCAGGCCCTGATGTGCCTCTTCCCACTATGAGCTCACAGTACATGTACCAGAATCCTGCTCCCTCCCTGCAGCCTCCTGTCAGCTCACAGCCTGCTGTTCCCCAAAGCACATCTTCCTTCCTGCCAGCAGCTCCTTTGAGCTCCTAACCTGATGGAAATGGCTATATCCTCCTCCTATGGTATTTCTAAGCCTAAATTAGTCACTTTCACCACAGGGAAGGAGAGCGACTTTCTGTTATTGAAGAAGGGACTGGATGGAGTATTTGGGCCCACATCCACATCTTTCTGAGGACTATAAATTCCAAGTACTGTTGGATCATCTTAAGTTTCCAGCTGCATTTGAAATTGCAAAGAGGTACGTTCATGACCCCATGCCATACACCAAAGCTATGCAGGCTCTACAGCAGCACTATGGCCAGCCACGACAACAAGTCCAAAGTGAGATTAACAGCATTCTGAGAGCACCTACATTGAGAGCAGGAGATGCACAAGGGTTTGAGGACTTTGCTCTATCAGTCAGTAACTTGGTGGGACTGTTAAACTCCCTTGAGGGAGCTGCAAAGAGTGAACTGGTGTGTGGCTGCTGAGTAACTCCCTGCTTCATATCAGGACAGTTTTGCTCAAGATTGCCTGACAAGGGGCATCCTGCAGAGTGACTCAGCTGACACGTACACACTACCTGACTTTGCCAGATGGTTAGAGAGGAAATCACAAGCCACTCAGATCTCAAGACAAGCCACTGATAGCTATACGGCCGATAAACCTCGCTTAGACCACAGAGAGAAACAATCTAAGCAGCAAAGGTTACCCTCCTCATCCATCTACTATGACAATGACAAATCTCCCGCACCTGCTGTCATTAACACCTCTGCTCCTACAGAGAAAAAAGATGTTCTTAAAGGAAAGAAAAGGGAGAAATTCAAGCCGTGTTATAAAAGGCTTAGGGAATGTGCAATTAAAACTGCACATAGGCTTAAGGAATGTGCAATTAAAACTGCACATAGGCTTAGGGAATGTGCAATAATTATAATTAAAACTGCACATAGGTTTAGGGAATGTGCAATAATTAGAATTAAAACTGCACATAGGCTTAGGTAATGTGCAATAATTATAATTAAAACTGCACATAGGCTTAGGGAATGTGCAATCAAAACTGCACATAGGCTTAGGGAATGTGCAATAATTAATAGAACAGAAGAATGCAAGGGCTTGCCTGTTAAGGATAATTTAAGGGTCCTGTTGGTGCATCACTCGTGGTCAGACTTGGCCTCATATTTACTTTGTTTTATGGTGTTTGTTGATGTGGTGCTTTGTGTTGTGTTGTTGTCCTGTTTTTTGATAAAGCATGTTACCCCCTGTCCCAAGACAAATTTCTCCCATGGGAGACAATAAAGGATTATCTTATCTTATCTTATTATTTGAGTTTCTGCCCTGACTTCACCAAGCTGACTACCCTACCATCAGATTGTTAGCTGGATAAATGACAATAAAAGATGCTGGAGATGTGGTAGGGGACACCAGCCTGACAGCTGCACTCTAAAAAAGCCCTGTGTCACCTGTGGAGGGCAACACAGATCCTCCATGAGGCCTCCTCCTGCACCAACAGGAGTGTTCTGACTGTGAGTACAGCATCCAGCATGTTGTATCTAGATTAGGCTACACACTCAGGCAGAGTCATGCTCAAAGTAGTCCCAGTTACACTCCATAGTGAGGATACATCTCTCACTACACATGCCATTCTTGACAATGGCTCAGAAAGAACTATTGTTCTGTCTGCAGCAGTTATTACCTGCAATTAAACAAGACTGTAGAATCCCTCAAACTAAGGACTATTAGACAAGAAGTCTTAGAGTTACAGGAAGCATCTGTAACCTTTGACACAAGTGCACCCAGATGCCCAGAACTAAACATCACATCAGCAAAGCTTTTACTGCTAAAGAGCTGAGTCTAGCCAAACAATCCTGCCCTATGGGCACTCTCGCCAGAAATATCCTTGGTGATGTCCCATTTAAAGCATTCAAAGATGTGCAACCCATGCTGCTTATAGGCTCAGACAATGCCCATCTTATTACTCCACTGTCACCTGTCAAAGCTGGTCCTCTGGGCAGCCCTGTCACTGTGAACACATATACATATACAGGGTCCTGCCACCTTTTTGCACCAAACAACTGAGGCCTCGTGCCTGCACATGTCGCTGCTCCCAACTCCATTTCAAGTGTTAATGCACAATGTAGAAAAGCTAGGGCAGTTAGATTTTCTTCCCTGTTGGTCAGAGAAGGAGATCACTTGGTCCAAGCAGGATAAAGAGGCACTGGAACTACTGCAGAACAGAACTGAGCATGTACAAGTAGACATCCAAGTGAGTGTGGGCCTGGGTTTGGGAGGGCACGCGCATTATTCTGTTCTTCGTATTATCAGAGGGCAGCTCTCATGTGCAAGAGCTCTCCTTTACACAAAAATGTAGGGAATATTTTGGTTCGGGTCAGGTTCGGACAGCAGGGTTTGTGTCGTGCGCAGACTCGGGTCACTCTGACGCTTGGTGCGTAAAGACTAAAGTGTTAAAGTTGCGTTCATTAAATCAAAAGCCTGGCTCCTGCAGCGTCCAAGGGAAGAGTTTTGTCTCAGGTCGGGTCATTATTTCATCCTCTGTGTTGGTCACAGAGTGTGTTCTATAGAAGTCTATAGTCACGGTGGAATAAACAGCCCTTCTCCAGGTTTTGGCGAACTAAACACTTAAATGCACAAATCTGAAGGTAATTTTTTATATATGTGGATTTTCTGTTAAGCTCCTGAACAAACACTTCCTCAAACTCTGTTCACTTCTGCTCTTTTCCACGAGTTTCGCTTTTTCCCTGTGTCTCCAGACTTTGCATAGAGCTTACAGGAGGTCCCAAGTTGGTGTAGAGATAAGCAAAGCGCCACACTTAAGACGAGTTTCATAAGTCCTGTGGTTAGCATAGAGAGGATTTGTGTGTAAGCAAGCTTTATAAATGAGGCCTCAGAACAGTAAATTATGGGTAATATATGGTCTTTAAGATTAGGCTATCTGGAATTCCTCCACTGTGGGACAAATAAAGGTTGTCTTATAGTTACGTTAGATTAAGGCAAGAATCTAAGTCCTAGTAATGTTCCCAAAAAGCGTGTAAAGTCCAGGTGTGAGTGCGTGTTTGGGAGGGTGGGGGTAGGGTCTGGTTCTCTGTTACCTTTCGCAGCATGGCCTCAGACTTCTGAACACTGAAGTTTCTGGCTGGAACAGATGAAAGACAAACAAACATGTGCTTTGAGCAGTCAGAGATTGGGCCTGTGTGCTACTGTGTGACTGGCCTGCACAAGAACAGTATTGTTTAATAGTGTGTCTAATGTGCTTAGCTCTGGTGCACATAGCCCTACTCAACAGTGTCACAACACCAGTGTGGATTACAGCTAAAGCCCCAGGGCCCACACTCCAGACGGGGACTTCAGCTCAGAAACATGAGGCCTGCTTTGACTCCAACGCTTAGTTGCAAATAAAAGTCTTCTTTAATAGCTGACTAATGTGTGACAGATCATGTGAACAGGGACGTAGGCCATGGAATGAGGTTATTGGAATCAGATACTAATCAATATTAAAATTAATATTGGAACTACATCTACATTTGAGTAGGGATTGGTACTTAAAAAGTCCTATTCACAGGACAGAAATGCACCTTCCCTAACTAGTTTTAGAGTGATTTTGAAATGTAGTACTTTCTTTTCTGTTCCCCTGTGTCCTTAAATCTGTGTAATCCCTCAGTGGTCCAGTAGGTTCCATCTGGTCTGTGGGCATATACTAGTCTATGTGCTCTTATACTTGTTCCCATACAGCTCATTCTAAAGTTATTCCAGAAAATGCTCATTTCTGTCCTGTGAACGGGACTTTTTTAGTATCAACATCCACTCAAATGAGTATCCAGTTATGTTGAAAATTCAATTGTCTAAATAGAAAGTGTTTTTTATTAGCAATGTGATATCGGAATTGTATCGAGTTTATCAAAATCGAGTTTTAAATCTGAGTATCATGATAACACTAATGACCATGTAATACAACAGTCTTCCCCACACGGAGGAGAGTGTGGGCCTGGTGCATCTTTAATACGATTAGTCACATATGGATTAGGCTGATGCATGGTGAGCTGAAGCAGAGCAGTACTCAGCAGTGTATCTGGTATGGCATGTTTTTATTTGTACATGGGCAGTGCACAACAATACATTAAAGGTGCAATGTGTAACTTTATAGGTGGGGGTCTGTCACCTGCTTGTCTTCATGGAAATATGATTCCTTTACCTGGAATATTCCACAACATAAAGTAAAACTTTAATTTTTTGCATTTACTCAATTAGCCATGCTTTTTATCGCTGCATTACTGCATTTTTATGTAAGCATAGTAACCTATGAACAGATATGAATTTTAACTTGGCCTGTGCATCACCTGCTTGTCTCCATAGATATATATAAGTGTAATTCCATGCTGTGAGGAACATTACCGACAAAGCAATAATATTGCCATCCCTGTGTAATCTGGTAGAAATACTGAAAATACTAAAAATATTGTTCTAAAAACAACATACAGCCATACACATGAGCACATACATTCTCATCTTCTCCCCTTAGTCCCTCCATCAAGTAGAACTGGGAATCACAGGGTCCCTCACAATTCAATACAATACACGATACTTGGTTGACGATATGATATTATTGCGATATGGCAATCCGTGTGATATTTGATATGATGCACATGTTACTCTGGGATATATTGCTATTTTTGTAAGAAGTGAAAACATTTTAGTAACAATATTTCTTTGTTAAACCACTGCTTCTGCCAAGTCAATATGACTATTTAATCATCAAAACAGTGAATATGTCAAGTGCATTGTGCATAAATAAGTTCCCTTCCGCTAAATAAGGAACAAAATTATAGTGCAGTAATAAAATCGTTACTAAAAGATGCAGAAAATGCTCTTGACAATACATTGAAACAGCAGTTAATGATAATGATACTGTATCACCAAATTCACTATTACAATATATATCAGTATTCAGTATTTATTATATTTATGAATTCTTTTGCACACCCCTACCATCAAGGCTCTACATATGCACATGTACATTCCACTTATCAGTCAAATCACACTTATGCCTAATGTGTAGATATCTTTAGGTATCTTTTTACTTTTTTGGTTAGCCATGCAAACATTTGAAAACCTGTACAGGTTAGAATGGGGGGCCATTTCTCAAGGAGCGTGCATTGGCTCACTTCCTTTCTGTCATCACAGACCCACCTCGCAGCCAGCGTAACAGGAAGTGGTCATGCTGGGCGGGAAGGCAGGACAGGATGTCCTGGATTCTCTCTCGAAACTGAAAAAGACATAGAGACAGCACAGATGACATGAAAACATCCACAACAGTCCTGCTAAAACACCACTGATACAGGCCTAAACCAGAGCTAAGCATAGACTAAAATGACTATGAAAGTCATTCTAAATCATCAAAAGATCAGGAGGTTTACATGTATTTAGGGGCAACAAGCTGTACACACATTCAGCAGGGTATTAACTGTTATCACAAAACATATTTAGATCACAATTTTACCTTTTATTGTTTTGAAAATGCTATATTGGCCAAAAACAACCCCTCCCCCCAATGGCAGAGTCAGTCATTTGGGGACCCTAGGCGAACTTTAGTTTGGGGCTCTCATTATAATGCACAATTCTTTTTTTTTTTTTTTAATCTATATTTTTATTGTCTGTTTTCCCCATTGTTCTTGACACATGCACATCTTTATTTATTTGAATTAGGGTGAACTGGAAACTCATCTTATTAGTTCCGTAGCCTATTAGCCAGAACTGAAAGTAGTTTTATTTTTTTGCTAGTACAATTACATTTTTGTTTCCATTACATATGATTATGATTATGATTTATTTTAATGATTATTGTTTAAAAGTAAACTACTCTCATTTAATGTCATATTGAGAGAAAATCAAATTGCTTTGAGGCCTCGGCCATTAATGGCACTGAGGGCAAATTGGTTGGGGGCCCCTCCAGGTTTGGAGGACCTAAGCAGCCGTCTACTTTTGCCTTATAGCAGAGTACATTACAAAAGACAAGTATTTCACTAATGAATCTACTGCACATCATATTAACTTTTTTGAAGTTGTAATTCACACATCTCATATACTAATGGTCCTTATTTAAACTGTGCACTTCACACACTCTCTTCACATGCAGCAGTAAGAAGGTTGTGTCAGTATTGCACCTGTAATTCAACATGTTCAGAGTGCGTGGCTCAGTGGTTTGAGTGCAGGGGCAGACTGGGACCAAAAAACGTCCCTGGACTTTTCCCCCACAAATCAGTCCACAGCAGAAACTGAGGAAAAGTCCAGAACCAGTCTGACCATACAGATTGCCAGTCTGCCCCTGTTACAGTGTTGAGTCAGCACAAATATATAGGGAAGTATCAAAAATCTGATAATAGTTTAGATACTAAACTAGACAGGCCTACTTATTTGAACAAGTATCCATTCACAAAACAGAAACAAACCTTTCCTGAATAGCTTTAAAATGATCTTGGCCAAAACATAAGGACACATGGTCAGATCAAAGAAACTATTATTTAATTGTATTTTATTGTCTGTTTCTATGATTGTGGCATCAGAAATTCTGAATAGATATTGATTATCATGACTACTCCTTTTAGTATCGTGACAACACTAGTGTGGTGCTTAGAGAGAAAACCAGTGTACACCATTATTACTGCACTACAGATGTGTACTCATCCAACATTGTTAATAAGACATTGTGAAATCAAGTCCAGAGTTTTGCAACCTTTATGAAAAGTGTTTATATACTAATATGGTTTATAAAGATGTGATAGATAGAACACTAATGATTTCAAAATATTGGAAGCATGCAGCGTTCTAGTTTGGAGCTCTTGGGAACCACTGTGAAGCTTTGTGGACTTTGGGAATCAGTAATGGCAACATCAGAGAGAACTTTATGCTTCAACACAATTCAGTAATAAACAGTAAATGTGGGCAGTACTCAATTACATTCACTTGAATAGCATAATGTCACACCTACCTGAGTAACATTTTCATTGAAGTAACAGTACTTTTACGTGAGTAAATGTTTTGGTGACTCTTTTACTACTTGTCTGCAAGTGACAAAAGCTTTATTATGTTGACAATATGAAATGATTTGAAGTTTTGTGGTTCTTGCACTGCTCCTTCTGATATGATTTAGTTTGTCTATTGTGTTTGGGTTTTTTTGTTTTTGTTTGTTTGTTTGTTTTTCAAACTGTAAGTCAAATGTTAGGTCCCAACACTCTCTACTCTTTAAGTTAGTCTAAGGCTACTGGAGTAGAACTTTTTTAGTTTTATTTGAGTAATTTCTGGTACTTTGTATTATATTTTTGTAATATTATTTTTAAGTAATGTTACTCTCATTTGAGTACATTTTATATATATATTATATATTATCCATCTACTCTTTATAGACAGATCTTTAGGCCTAGCAGCTTGTGAATTAAATCTATGTTACTGAGATGAAGAATATTTTCAAACGAAAATAATTTCAAGACAGGTCAGCTGGGTGTCAGTGGAATTCTTGTGCATTCCAGCTGTAGTTAGTTGGTCCATTTCAGCACACTGGACAGCACTCCATTTCTCCTGTTTCACACATCGCCTGATCATAAGGCTTTAAGAACCGTGCCTATGGCCAAATCTAACAGTGTGACTGTCTCGGATCAGCTGACCCATGACGTGCTGTTATGGTGAATAGCGGCAGACTGACAGCTCCAGCGGAGGAGTAGCCTACATATCTTACATAGGTGAAGGAGAGTACAGACCTGCTCCAGCGCCTCGGCCTGTCGCGGGCTCAGATCCCCCACTCTCCCGCTCATGTCTGCGCTCAGAACCCGGCTCAGCACTGCTCGGTGTGGGGTGATGATGAAGCGCGCATTGACCACTGCCCTCACGGCGCTGGCGATACGGATTATGTCACTCGATATGAGCACAAGCCCCGCCCATTATCTACGGACAGCCAATCAGTTCCGTGCGCTTCATTTGGCTCCTATGTTAATCTCATAAATTTATCACATTACATTATTTTTTAATCTATGTTATATTGTTGTTTCCTCATCAGAAATATTAGTGGAGTTGTCTTTTGTTTCATTCACACATGTCTGAGTAACTCTATTATTAGACTGTCGATATCTCCTCAGCTCAGAACACCTTGTGATGTCATGAAGCGGTAATTTTCGAGCGAAATGTTTAATTTGCTTTTAGATCTATAGAAACTGTCAATTTCAAGGCTGTAAATAACCAGATGATTCTAGTGACAGTGTATGGAGTTTAAAATCACAGTGGAGCACTCTCTGTATTACCACATGACAACAGCTGAGTGTTTTCTGCTTGAGAGAAGAACTCGGTGTAAATGTGCAGGGTTTGTGTGTTAAACATGTGTGAATGAAACAAAACATAACTCCAGGTCTGTTTGTGCTGATGACATAACATTATGACATACATCGACATCAGTGCAATATAGGCCTTTTAAAACTCACAAGAATCCATTTTGTGCAATGTAATACCTTTAACATCAACATTCCTTCCATAATGACATGTAGCAGACTGAGTGATTGTGGTAAGCCTAAAGTTGAACTCAGAGTTCAAAGTTCAAAGTTAGCTTTATTGTCAATTTCTTCACATGAACTAGACATACAAAGGAACTGAAATCACATTTCTCTCTATCCAAGACAGGACAACATTTATATGCACAATGAACAAATAACATAATCTCTAACTAAATAAATGAAGCTAAAAACAGTAGTGTATAGTTCTGGTGGATGAAGCTCTTAGTCAGTCTGGTGGTGCGGGAAAGGAGGCTCTGAACTGAACTGATTATTAAACCCTAATCTAATCTTATCTGTCTTCAGTTATTGCTTTGCGTGTAATATTCCTGGGTATTTCTGGCGTGACATTTTCTAGGTAATAAAACCTCCATTAGAGACAAGCAGTTGGCATGGCCCACTGCCACCAGAAAATTACATTTTAGTGTCTTTATGAGAGGAATGAGGCACCACCAAATGTTCTTTTTTGAATAAAGTAAGCTCAGTGTGTGTGTGCTTAACTACACACAATCACAACATATCCAGAGTTGTGTTTTGGTTCATTCACACATGTTTAAAAAACAAACTCTACATATGTAGGCTGTAGGCTTAAACAGAAAACACCCTCCTCCACCTTGTGATGTCATGTGGTAATACAGGAAGTGCTCCACTGTGTTTTTAAACTCCATACACCTTCATTAGAATCATTTGGAATTTCGAATCTCTACTGAACTAAAGGTAAAAGGTAGCTGTTAACTACCACTTCATGACATCACAAGGTGGAACAGTGTATTTTGATCTTTGGAGATGTAGGCAGACTAATAATAAACGCTTACTCAAACATGTGTGAATGAAACAAAAAACAACTCCAGGTCTGTTTTTGAGGAGGTAACAACATTCTAACATGGCTTAAAGCTTAAGAGTCAATTTTGCATAATATCTTTTAATGCTCCGCAGGAATGTGGTGGAGTAACATTAGGCTACTTCAAAATAATATTACTCAAGCAGAAGTACAATGTAGTGGTCCAATAAATGACTTAAGTAAGAGTAAATTTCAGGAAACTACTACTCATGTAAAAGTAACTTTAAGGATAACTGTTGGGACGTATCTGATTATAAGGTTAAAGTTAATGTAGGCTACTTGGAAGGAGAAAACATTAAATAGCCTAAAGCATAAAATCTGGTATTTAGGATAGGCACAAAAATTTGACATTATCTAAAGGTGCAAGAAAAACAAGTAAAAGTACTTTTACTTCAATAGAAACATTATTCAAGAAGGAGTACAAGTATATTGCTAGAAAAGTTAAGATGATGTTTTGTTAAAAGTCCTATATTACACAAAATGGATTCTTGTTAGCTTTAAGCCAGGTTATATACCTTTCCTAAAAGCATTCCTGGAGCTGTGTTTTGTTTCATTCACACATGTTTGAGCAATGTAGACATCTCCCAAGTCTCAAAATACCACCTTGTGATGTCATGAAGGGGTCGTTTTAAAGTTAACTGCTCCTTTTACCTTTTGTTTAGTAGAGATTGGAAATTCCAGGGTCGAAATCATAAGAATAATTCTAGTGAAGGTGTCTAAAGTTTAAGTACACAGTGGACTACGTCTGTAGCCTATTACCACATGACATCACAAGGTGGGGTGTTTTCTGTCTGAAAGAAGAACCCATCCTAAATATACAGGGTTTGTGTGTTAAACATCATAACATAGATCATAAATAAGTAATATGGGCGCTATGAGTATAAGCATCAGACTTCAGCATTTGCATGCGAGTGAACATTTAAAACATTCCAGGGCCTTTTATTTTAGGGCTTTGTCATTATTTGAATAGATCCATGGGCTCGGGCTTGGCGCGACCTCTACTGGACATTTTGTGTAACTACAGGTTAACACATCCTGCTAACACTTAGGACGGACAGAAAGAATAGTGCAATATAAGGCGTCTGTGAATATACAAAAGGGCCACGTTTGTTTAACTGACATTTTTGGAGCAAATACAACAGACAGCTATCGCATATGTGATGTATCCGCATCCTCTGCCTCTCCATGTGACGCTGACCTGAGCATCTATACAGATTCATTATGGCATGCATTCATTAAGCCTAAGTTTCTTATGTCCGTATTTAAGTAAACACAATTTAATCAATGTATTATGTTGTAATGGTGTATTTATATTTATACAACAAAATATTATGAAGAAGACTTATCGAAGCCTTGCCTGCCTGATGTGTTTTGTTTCCGGGACAGAGCGGAAGTGGAATGTGCTTGTTTACATCCTCACTTGATGGAGGCTCGGGACCATGGAGGGCTGAGACTGTGGCGATCTAAAGCTCCCACAATCACACATGTACACAGATTTTAGTGCAGTGTACTTGCGTCCGGGAGCGGGGCATGACTGAGGCTGCCCGCTGGTACTCCCTCTGCCCGCTGCTGGGGCTTCTGTGCGGAATGTGTGGGGTGCTGGCGGCCGCAGAGCAGCTCGCCCTGCTGGAGGTATTGGTGGAGCAACGGCCTGGGATCAGCACCCTCCAGGGACAGCTGCTGCACCCGCGGAAAGGCTCTGAGCAACAGGGACGTGAGGCGGAGGGGCTGGAGGGCGCGTTGGTGTTGGTAAGAATCGGAAGCCGCATGATGGTGCGGATGAGTCATTGTGTTCAGTATAATGAGCTCAGCCTTTGGTTTGGTGTCTGCCTACTATCTGAGACTACAACTAGTGATGGGAAGAAAATACTTGTAAAATATATTTAGTTCCACAATACTGAATACCCCAATTAAAATGTATTTTGTAACATATATCTGTTCTGAATATTTAAAATACTTTTACATCGAGTCGCACTTTATCTGTCTGTCTGTCTGTCTGTCTCTATTTGTATCTGTCTATACTGTTGTCCCTGTCCTGTCTGGACGTCCTTTGTTTTACATGCTTGTTTGTACAACGTAACTATGAATTACTGTTTATTATTATTATTATTATTATTATTATTATTATTATTATGTTTCGTATCTCTGTCTATCTATTTTTATATCTGTGACATTGGAATGTCATTCGGGCTTGAGAAATGTAGTAGGAGGGTGACAAAGGGAGGGAAGGTAGTGACACAGAACAAGACACAAGTACCTTTGTATCACGCAAGCAAATGGCAACCTCGAAGAGGCAACAACCCTGCCAGTGATCAGATATCCAGCAGGAATCATGCACTGGCCAAAGGAGGAGATACAGACCACAGATGTTTAGTCATGAAAGCTTCTGACCATGTATGAAGGGTTCCATCCCAAATCCAGCACCCTGAGACTGTACACAAGTTGGAAAGGAGGACTAGTGAGTGTGGGAACCACTGTCCAGGATGAACCAAGAGATGGGAACAGGAAAAGAGGAACATGACAAACTAGAGAAATACCAGGGCTCAAGAAAAAGCTGGAGAAGGCCTGGAAGGTGAAGGCATCAGTGGTGCCCATGGTGATCAGAGCACTCAGGGCTGTAATGCCCAAACTGGAAGAGTGCAGTATTGTATGTATGTATGTATTTGTGCGTGTGCGTATATATATATATATATACACACACACACACACACACACACACATATATATATATATATATTTATATATATCATCCTCTGATCTCTGATCCTGCAGGTTCATCATGATGAGCTGATTCAGGAAGCTCCAGAGAGCACAGGGAGCAGGGTGGCACCGGAGAACTCACAAGACACAGAGCTGTGGATCGGGGTAGTGCCTGTGGACCTGGACCAGAAGGTCTCCACGGGAAACCAAGAGTCCTTTGCTGACGCTGTTGTCCAAAAGGTGAGTCTTAACATACTATAGGCAGCCTGTGAGCAATATGCTTCAACCAGGCATCCACTCACTTGTTACCACTAGGCCTATTTGATAAATTTGTCTAAATTTGCACCTGTTGTTTATTTATCTCATCACAATATATAACATTGATTCGAAAGGCCTACAACATGGCAGCTTCTTCTACAACTCAGAAGAACGTTTTATGTATAGTAAACTTATTACCAATAGTCTACAATAGTCTACACAGATGGCAGTTCTGAATATTAAAACTTTAAAATATTTTACTGTCCTTACTTAAAGTAAGTAAGTAAGTCAGTCTTTATTTATATAGCGCTTTTCACAGACATATGTTACAAAGACGCTTTACAAAGCATTATTCTTTCTCTCCATACCCGGTGATGGTAAGCTACTATTGTAGCCACAGCTGCCCTGGGGCATACTGATGGAAGCACGACTAACATGCCAAGTGGCACCATCGGCCCCTCCGACCACTACCATCACTCACGCACACACCACTTTCATACTAGGCAATGTGGGTGAAGTGCCTTGCCTAAGGCTTTTGTGACTGGCGCCGCCATGTGGGACCTAACCTGTATTTGGTGATTTTTTTGATCTATGTTATAATGTAGTTTCCTCATCAAAAACTTACCTGGAGTTGTGTTTCTTTTCATTCACAGATGTTTAACACACAAACACTGCATATATAGGCTCAGTTCTTTTCTCAAATGGAAAACACTCTGTTCCACCTTGTGATGTCAGATAATAGAGGAAGTGTTCTACTGTTTTTTTAAACTCCATACACCTTTACTTGAATCAATTGGATGGTTTCAGCCCTGGAATTTCCTATCTCCACTGAACTAAAGGTAAAAGGTGTTATTACCTTGAAAACTACCACTTAATGACATCACAAGAGGATTTAGAGTTTGAGTTTTAGAGATGTAGACTTATAATAAGGGATTACTAAAACATGTGTGAATTAAACAAAATATTACTCTGGGTATGATTTGAGAAGCTGACAGCATTATAACATGGCGTAATTGAAAAAGGTACTGAGTATAGTTATAGAATCCGTACTACAGTCCCTGACAAAAGTCTTGTCGCTTATCCATTTTGTAGAAACAAAAGCTTATAACCTGACTTTAAATTAATCGATTGGTTTTAGAAATGTCTCATATGAAAGCTAAAACCCTCCCAAATTATGCTCAATATACTAAAATAAATTTGCTTCACTGAAGAAAGATTGATCATTTAATGAACACAGAAAGGTCAGATTTTGGCAAGACAAAAGTCTTGACGCCTTGTCATATGATGCACTCAATCCTAGATTACAGCCTCATCTGTGATCAGTTACTGATCAGTCAATTAGTGGGTGTGCATAAAAAGCACCCAGGCACACCAGACCTACACATCAACTGCAACTTGACCTCTGACAACATGCCTAAGATCCACCCTGAGACCAAAGCGTTAATTATCAAGAGGCTGAAGACCAGATCCACTGCTGAGGTGGCTGACACCTTCAATGTGTCTCAGCGTCAAGTACAAAGAATAAGAAAAAGATCTGAAATGACTGGAGATGTTTTTGACAAGCCCAGGTCCAGCAGACCCCGCAAGATAACTGCTCGGGAGGACCGTTTGTTGATTCGAAAATCCAAGGCCAGCCCCTTTTCCACTGCAGCAGAGCTCCACCAGGCCTGGTCACCTCAAGTCCCTGTGTCAACCACAACAGTTTGTAGAATTCTGTCTCGAAATGGCCTCCATGATCGAATCAGTGCACAGAAACCAACACTAAACAAAAGGCAATTAAAAAACCGTGTGGCATTTGCCAAGGCCCACAGCCTGCTAAAAGGATGGACACTGGAAAAGTGGCAGAAGGTGGATTTCTCAGATGAATCCTCGGTTGAATTACATCACAGCCACCGCAAATATTGCAGGAGACCTACTGGAGCCCGCATGGATCCAAGATTCACCCAGAAAACAGTTAAGTTTGGTGGCGGAAAAATCATGGTCTGGGGTTACATCCAGTATGGGGCTGTGCGAGACATTTGCAGGGTGGAAGGCAATATCAATAGCCTAAAATATCAAGAAGTATTAGCTATCTCTTACATTCCCAACCATAAAAGGGGTCAAATTTTGCAGCAGGATGGTGCTCCATCGCATACTTCTATCTCTACATCAAAGTTTCTCAAGGTGAAGAAGATCAAGGTGCTCCAGGACTGGCCAGCCCAGTCACCAGACATGAACATCATTGAGCATGTCTGGGGTAGAATGAAAGAGGAAGCATGGAAGGCAAAACCAAAGAATCTTGATGAACTCTGGGAGGCATGTAAGACGCTTTCTTTGCTATTCCTGATGACTTCATCAACAAATTGTATGAATCATTGTCGAACCGCATGGATGCAGTCCTTCAAGCTCATGGAAGTCATACAAGATATTAAATATGGATCTCACAGCACCACTACTTAATTCACTGACGTTATGCAACATATTTTTGTATTTGAAGTAAATTATTTGTTCAATTTTCTGTAGGTGACAAAACTTTTGTCTTGCCCCCCCCCCTGCCCCGTCAGAGGGGGGATTTGAACCCAGGTCTCCCATGTGAAAGTCCAGTGACTTCCCAATTGAGCTAACCAGCTGCTCATGTCAGGCATCATTGCAGCTAAGATAAGTGTGCACATGAATCAATACATGAGCGCAGCATAGAAGGGTATTGGCAAAAACACCAGGGGAGCCAAACACCAACTCCTGGTTGACCGAACAGTCGCCCGCGACTGCAGAACCCGTAAGACCAACCTGTGCACTGCCTGGATTGATTACAAGAAAGCCTATGACTCAATGCCACACACATGGATCACTGAGTGCTTGAAGCTGTACAATATCAACAGGACTCTAAGGGCGTTCATTGCGAACTCGATGCGGTTGTGGAAAACCACCCTTGAAGCCAAGGGGAAGCCACTTGCACATGTGTCCATCAAATGTGGCATATACCAAGGAGACTCACTGTCCCCACTACTGTTCTGCATAGGCCTGAACCCTCTCAGCCAAATAATCGACCGCACTGGCTATGGATACCGACTCAGAAACGGGGCCACCATCAGTCACCTCCTCTACATGGATGACATCAAGCTGTACGCTAAGAGTGAGCGAGACATCGACTCACTGATCCACACCACAAGGATCTACAGTACAGACATTGGAATGTCATTCGGGCTTGAGAAATGTAGCAGGATGGTGACAAAGAGAGGGAAGGTAGTCCACACAGAGGGGGTGTCACTCCCAGAGGGAACAATAGCAGACGTTGAGGACAGTTACAAGTACCTTGGTATCCCACAAGCAAATGGCAACCTTGAAGAGGCAACAAGGAAAGCGGCTACGGCCAAATACCTGCAAAGAGTGAGGCAAGTCCTTAGAAGCCAGCTCAATGGCAAGAACAAGGTGCAGGCAATCAACAGCTACGCCCTGCCAGTGATCAGATACCCTGCAGGGATTGTAAGCTGGCCAAAGGAGGAGATACAGACCACAGATGTTAAGACACGAAAGCTCCTGACCATGCATGGAGGGTTCCATCCCAAATCCAGCACCCTGAGACTGTACGCAGGCCGGAAGGAAGGGGGCCGAGGACTAGTGAGTGTGGGAACCACTGTCCAGGATGAAACATCCAAGCTCCTTGAGTACATCAAGGACAAGGCCCCGGCAGATGAGGTGCTCAAAGAATGTCTCAGACAGTGGGGTCCAGAGGAAGAGGTGCTGGAGGGACCATCATGGCAGGACAAACCCCTACATGGGGCGTACCACCGGAACATAACTGAAGTGGCTGATATCAAGAAATCCTACCAATGGCTTGAGAGGGCTGGTCTGAAGGACAGCACTGAGGCACTGATCCTGGCTGCTCAGGAGCAGGCCGTGGGCACTCGAGCAATAGAGGCCCAGATCTACCACACCAGACAAGACCCACGGTGTAGACTGTGCAAAGAGGCTCCTGAGACAATCCAGCACATAAATGCAGGGTGTAAGATGCTGGCAGGGAAAGCATACATGGAGCGACATAACCAAGTGGCGGGCATAGTGTACAGAAACATCTGTGCAGAGTACGGGCTGGAAACCCCAGGATCAAGGTGGGAAACACCTCCAAAGGTTGTGGAGAATGACCGAGCCAAGATCCTGTGGGACTTTCAGATACAGACTGACAGAATGGTGATGGCGAACCAACCAGACATAGTGGTGGTGGATAAGAAACAGAGCAGAGCCGTGGTGGTGGACATCGCAATACCAAGCGATGGTAATATCAGGAAAAAGGAACACGAGAAGCTAGAGAAAATACCAGGGGCTCAAGGAAGAGCTGGAGAGAGCCTGTAAAGTAAAGGCATCAGTGGTGCCTGTGGTGATCGGACACTCGGGGCTGTAACCCCCAAACTGGAAGAGTGGCTACAACAGATACCGGGAAAAAACAATGGACATCTCAGTCCAGAAAAGTGCAGTACTGGGAACAGCAAAGATACTGCGCAGAACTCTCAAGCTCCCAGGCCTCTGGTAGAGGACCCGAGCTGAATGAGGGTGAGAGAGACCTACCACCGTGGAAGGTGAGAAACACATTTTTTATATATATATATATATATATATATATATATATATATATATATATATATATATATATATATATATATATATATATATATATATATATAATACACACACATACATACATACATACATACATACATACATACATACATACATATACATATATATATATATATATATATATATATATATATATATATATATATATATATATATATATATATATATATGTGTGTGTGTGTGTATATATATATATGGGTAAATATGATGTTTTTGCTGGTTTCTTTCAGATGAAGCGTGCCTTGGTCCTGGGTGCGTCTGCTCTCATAATCCTCGCTCTCAATCAGAACACTGTCAGTGAGGTTAGAGCATTTAGCCCACAGGAAAGTTCCTGTCAGCTCCTGTCAGCTCTTATCTGCTCCTGTCTGCTCCTGTCTACCCCTGTCTGCCCCTGCCTGTCCCTGCCTGTGGCGCTTGTTTTAATAAAAGTTAAGTCATACTGTTGGGAGTCCGAGTATGTCTGTGCTGTGTCTCTTCCAGATGGACCTGTCTCAGGTCTTGGTCAAACCCATCATTGTGATCCAGTCTTCTGAAAACGTCACACGCCTGTTCGGAGCTTTACTTAGGTACTTGTCCTTTGTGAATGGGCTCTAAAAGCAGTTAACTCTCTAGCTTTGCACTGTATAGCACTGTGAGGGATTTCACATACGCGTTTGTAGCCTACTTTCCAAAATTAGCCTGGTATTGGTCTTCCGTGGTATACTAATAAAAAGCATATAGCCACAAGGAGAATTCTTCAAGAATGAAACACCCCATTTCAAATCCTATTTCAATATTGATTACAAAACAAACAAAAAAAAAAACACATGCTCAGAACCTGAACCTGGACCATACTGAATGACTTATTCTTGACACTTAAGAACAATTTACCAACAGATATTTTGAAGGTCGGAATAAGGTAAAAAGTGAATACTGACATGTACCTCGCTCTGCAGGGGTTTGCAGGCCACTGTGAAGATCACATACCAGACCATCCTGCAAGATGACCTGGTAGGCCACATTTTAATTGCATGTGTTTCCTTCCTAAGCCATGCACAGTCTGGGCTGCTCTTCCTGTGTGCTGGTTTACACTTCATGATTGTTAAAGCTGTTTCTGTGTGCTGTTTCTGTGTGTACACCTAATGAGTCTTAACTCTGTTTGTGTGTCCAGGGAGCGACACTCACCCTGTGGTCCAGCTGTGGGCGCTCTCGAGACAGCCGCTATGGGGAATGGCTGGGGGTCATCTGTACCGGAGAGAGCAACTCACAGGTCCAGGTCTGAGCCTCTGTAGGCACACTGTAGCCTGTAGACCAGTGCTGTGTCCTGTGTTCTGAATACTAGGGCTGTGAGGGATTGTGATGGTGTGTTGTGTGTTTACAGAAGTATCTGCAGCAGCTTTGGGACACAGTGCTCTTGGTGGTCCTCATCCTCAGTACAGGTGTCCTGCTCCAGGCTCACCTGCAGGCTCAGGAGCAACCCCGGGACAACCAGCGGCAGGTGAGCCTCCCCTTTAAGTTCTGCCAATGCTGTGACCTTCAAACTACAAACTGCTGGTTCAGTCCATATGAAATCAGCCGTTTTCAAGGAATCTCCCCTATGAGCCATCTCAGATTTGGCTGAAAAAGGTTTTAAAAATTTCTAAAATGACCAAATGAAAGAATCTCAAATTTTAGCTCAATCCCTTCAGTTATGGCCTGTTGAAATTTTGGGGCCATGCTCACTTTTTCAGAAGCCTTAATTTATAAGCATGTTTGAGAGACCATAACTTCATAAAAAATAGAGATAGGAAGCTAAAAATTTGTATTATTGTAGATTCTTGGTAATAGATTTAAAATCTATTGTATTAATATTGTGTATCTTTATTAAGGGGGGTGCTGTGGGTCCCCAAAATCTCACATTTGGTTGCCGCTCAATTTTTTTTTTTCAGTTTTTGAGGTCCAAGATCTATTTACTCCAAGCAGATATTTACAAACTAACTGTTGAACCTGAATATTTGAGAGAATGACCATTTCTGACAACAATCTCACACTTTTCTGAGCTTTCATGTGGATGGTGTTGAGCCCCAAATATGGTCACAGACCAAATGTGATCTTTTTAGCCCCTTCCCCATGTTGTCACAGTTAGATGTTGATCATTTTTTTACCAGAGAAACTTTGGCATATTCTGATTAGTTTAAAGTAATAAAAACATCTACTATTAAAGGTTGTATAGAGGATTTTCCAAGGAACGAGAAATCCAGCGACTGTTTGTCCTTTTTCAAATGTTGCGCATGCGTGAAACCACCCCCGCTCCCCTACGGCTCCCTACGTAGAAACGCCTCCTCCCGCCTCCTCCTTACGCCAGAAACAGGTTTGTTTACAGCCGGTTTGCTGCACATGACTTGTAAACAACTAACTACAGTGTTGGTTAGGCAAGACGGAGAAGTGAGGAGCGGGGGGAGCGGGTGCGCGGACATTCGTGCGCGGACGAGAAGTGAGGAGCAGGGAGAAGAGCGGAGCAGGGAGCAGGGAGAGGAGAGAGGAGAGGGGAGCGGTGCGCAGAGATTCCGTGCCCGGAGAAGTGAGGAGCAGGGGGAAGAGCGGCTCGGGCAGCGGGGAGAGGAGCAGGAAAGGGGTGCAGAGAAGAGTGCGCGGAGATTCAGTTCGAATGAACTAGCTACAACACGCAGCAGCAAGCGGACTCTTTCTTTGCCTTGAAAATTACGTTTTCAGATATAGGATATCGCTTTCGTGTCCTGAAAAACGTTTGACTAGCTCTTGGAAATAAAGTACGTTTTCATAATAAGCAGAAGTTACCTGTCCAGGAGTAATTTGGCGACCAGTGCGTCAATCTTTAGACCCTGCGTCTGCTTCAGTTGCGCCATCGCTGGAATGAATCTTCAAGAATCACCTTAGTTTGGCTTCGCTGCTTTTCCCCTTGTCTTCTTCTTTCAGTGACCTCAAAAACGGACTTTCTTTTGCGGCTAACTGCTCCTGGATTCTTGTCTGCCATTGCAACAAACTTTGTGCTCACTGCAAGGAAGATATAGGTCAAAAAAAGCCGCTAAGAACTGTTGCGTTAGTGGAGTAAACAGCGTCTGTGCGGCTTGCGTCTGTGGACTGCGTGACAGGCGTATGTAAACCACGTACCGGCGGCGCGCAGGCAAGTCAGTTACACCAGAAACGTAGGGAGATTGATTGACAGCCTGTGAGCTAACAGATAACGAGGCAGTGTCGTTATCTATTGGCAAATGTTTAGCTGGCCCCACCACGTCCAGAGTTGATTAATTTTTATTCTCTTTTTTTTGGTCATAATAATTACAAGGCTACTGCACCTCTATAATGCTATCATTGACAATTTGAAACAAAAAAAAATCCTCCATACAACCTTTAACTTCCTTCATTTCAAACAAAATTTTTGAAAATGAGCTCTCATGGGTCATTTTTGGTGGAGTTTAGGTACTTTTCCACCTGTTAGAAAGATTAAATTATCTTTAATAGACTTAAACACTATTTGCTTGTTATAAGGGAAGACAATTGGAGATTATTTGTGGTACTCGCCCACTGATCTGAAGGTTGGCGATTCGATTCCAGCTCTCGACATAAAACATCACAGGTTGAGCGGTCAGATCCACTGACCCACAGGTTGGCTGGTGTGATTCCAGCTCCCACAGATGAATGCTGCCATTGTGTCCTTGGGCAAGACACTTAACCCACCTTCCCCACAGTGTCTGTGTACACTGATGTGTGAATGTGTGTGTGAATGGGTGAGTGGTTCCTTGTTGTAAAGCGCTTTGAATGCCTTGAAGGTGGAAAAGCGCTATAGAAAAATGTGACCATTTACCATTGACCATTTACATTGCTTGGAAAAGTGTCATTAATCCTTTGAGAAAATTCAACTATTGACTTCATACTAAATTATGAAAAAAGGTTTGTTTGCATTATTTTTTCTATTTTTATTTGGGGAAGATAATTTGTTTTCTCACAAAGAAACAGCTTTTCATGATGTATAAGTGAAGCAACAAAAGTTAAGACAGGACTGATTAAAAGGCAAATTGCAATTGGAATACGCATTGCCTGTTAAATCACAAAGTCTCTGATTCTATAACCATGGCTTTCAGTACAACCATATGTATATTATTTTTGCACAAAAATATTACAAGAAGGCAGTAACATTAACAAGAAAAAAATTGATACTGACACAAATGTTACCAAAATACAGTCATCTGATCTATTATTTGTTCAACTGCTAGAAAATGTTTAAAAATCAGTGTGAAAAACAATCTCAGTGGAAAATACCAACATACTGGAAAAATCTGCCCATTCTGGTCCCTTTACCACCTGCATGTAGATCATGTGTGTTGGGATCTTGCACACTAAGTGTTCCTAACTACTAATGAACTTCAGAAGTAACATTTGGATCCTGTCATAATCTGCAGGGTCAAGGCAATAATTTCATGCTTTACTTGAATGCTTTACTGAACTTCTGGAACCTTAATACAACAGATTCTGTGCTGAAATGGAACCCAACATGGTTCTGTCGATGTTCAGGAGGCCAGATGAGGGTTCTGTCGTCTCCATTCATGAATCTCACACAGACATCACAGTGTTCATCTAAACACTCTGAAATATTCCCAATGAACCACCTGATGTCATAAATAGATGCACAGTATTGACCTGCTGGTACAGAGAGAAATCTGCACAATTTCATTTTGTATTTCAGAAACTGACACTTCAGTTCATAAATGATCTTGAGATATTCTCCTCATTTCTAACTTACCATTTGACACTGGAATGAAACTGTGGTATGATCTAGCACCATTCACAGTCTTTGTCTTGCTGTAGCGCTCTTCTAGTTTGGAAGTAATTTCATGGTTTGTAATGTCTTTAGAGCTTGTCAAGAAAAACTTTACATTCTTTATGTTTTGTAAAGCTCACTAAAACATCTGGAGTGCGGTCAATATTTGATTGCTGTCAGTTGTCTGAAGACTGGTCCTTGTAGCCGAGCGTTTTACTGTGCCACCAAAACCATCACAAACAATGTACCACAAATAATCTCCAATTGTCTTCCCTTATAACAAGAAAATAGTGTTTAAGTCTATTAAAGATAATTGAACCTTTCTAGCAGGTGGAAAAGTCCCTAAGCTCCACCAAAAATGACCCATGAGAGCTCATGCTAGCGTTGTGTCACGCTAGCGAGCAAGACATGGAGTAGGACACATATTTCAAGGCTCCTACAAAATCCACAATATTATTCCATAAAACGGCTACTTTTGAACTGAAACTTGTGCAAGAGAATGTGGAGCAACATCAGATGAAGTAGGAGAACGGATGGTGTCAGAGTTGATGGCGGAAAAGTTTCAGAATTACAAATTTTGCTCAAGCACTAGAAACCAAGCTAATCCAGCGAGGTCAGGGCCTGTAACGAGGACTACCATGAGGTTAGCTGTGCAGGGCGATGCACATACAGATACAGACCAACCCTCACCCACCCCGAGTAAAAGTCCAGGTATGGCAACTGAGGATTTAAAAGTGGAGATTTTGGCGTTCCTGAGAGATGACATTAAAGGAGTAACAAGAGAGGAAATCAAATCGGCATTAACAGATGAGCTAAATGTACTCAAGAACGCAAGTACTTTAAACAGCAGTGGCTAAAGATACCAAAGCTATCCATGATGACTTGGAGCTCATAAAGGGAGATGTGCAAGATGTGAAAGGGGGGTTATCAACATGGTCCGATGAAGTGTCATCACTGCAAGATACAGTGACCAACCTCAAGAAGGACTATATTATGGAGTTAAATATAATTTCCCAGATAAAACATTCTGACCATTCTGTGGGGTATGACCAGGTCACCCCTGGTGGTGGCTCGTGTGGTTCTTTCTGAGATGCCTTTTTGTTTGATGTACTCCTTGGTGGTGGTGCGAGGGAGTGTATGACTTTATAAGTTAAACAAGCCCTTTTAAGTTTGATCATATTGCTGAAATCCAAAAGCCTGTGCTTTTTCAGAATGTGACAGTGGTGGTGGGAAATGTTTTTTTTATCCAGTATTTCTAGACATCTTTAATAGAGGTGCTCAATGGTTTTAAGTGTTGTGGGGCAGGCAAAAGACAAAGTAGTTAGACAATAATCTATGTGAGAAATGATCATGGAATAAAAATAAGTTTTAGCAGCGTTCATGTTTCGGTTGTTCCTGATGTGATGAAAATTCTGATTATGGAATTGGATTATCTGGGACACTTTTTTAACATGACTTTTGAAGGACAGTGTATCCAACACTGTCCTTCAAAAGTCATGTTAAAAAAGTGTCCCAGATAATTAGAATAACTAGAATTACTCCAAGGTATTTAAATTCTGAGACCAGATCAAGTTCTACTCCATTAAGAAAAAACATTTGATTGCTTCAATTCAGTGTGACATTTAGAAGAATACATACAAACATTGTCATTCCAAACAAATTTAAGATAAGATAAGATATGCCTTTATTAGTCCCACAGTGGGGAAATTCCATGTTGCAACGCGCAATTTCAGAACAGCAGGAAAAGGTAACACAGATAATAAATAATAGCTTAAAAATAATTAAAAAATAGACTTAAAAATAAAAAATTTCTTCAGGTATTTACAAATAAGATCATTTTTGACATTGCCTGTCAATCTCACGTTCCGTCCTTCCCTCGTGAACACGTGACACGTCTTGTTCATGAGGGAAGGACGGAACGTGAGATTGACAGGCGGATCGGTGCAGCGTCTGCAGTGATGCGGTCGCTGTATCGGACCGTTGTGGTGAAGAGGGAGCTGAGTCGAAAGGCGAAGCTCTCGATTTTACCGGTCAGTCTTCGTTCCTACTCTCACCTATGGTCATGAGCTCTGGGTAGTGACCGAAAGGACGAGATCGCAGATACAAGCGCTCGAAATGAGTTTCCTTCGCAGGGTAGCTGGGCGCTCCCTTAGAGATAGGGTGAGGAGATGTTTTTATTATCTTGGACCTCAAAAACTGAAAAAATAAAATAAAATTGAGCAACAATCAAATGTGAGATTTTGGGGACCCACAGTGCCCCCTTAATAAAGACACACAATATTTGACAACAGATTCAGAATCTATTACCAAGAATCTACAAGAATACAAATTCCTAGCTCTATTTTTTCTGAAGTTATGGTCATGCTAAACATGCTTATAAACTAAGGCTTCAGAAAAAGTGAGCATGGCCCCAAAATTTCAATGGGCCATAACTCAGGAACGACTTAAGGTATTAAGCTAAAACTTGACATTCTTTCATTTGGTGATTTGAGAAATGTTTAGAATTCTTTTCAGCCAAATTTGAGATGGCTCATAGGGGAGGGCAACTGATTTCATATGGACTGACCCTACTACCTTTAAACTACAAAACAGACATAGCAGCCCTATGACCTGTGTCTGTCGTTCCCACGTGTACATTTTAAAGCAGTACCGGTTCATAGGTTGTTTGGTTCCACGCCGCACAGAAAGAATATATAACTTACATTATTTCTGTTTTATTTATTATCCAAGTCTGAACAATGTTTATTTAGAAAAATTTCCAAATTCTCTCTGCTACATCCATCTATGACTCACTCTTGACTCACGTCAAGATGCTTGTTTCGGTCATGTGGTACATTAACACTACTATTAAACCCACAAGCTGCAAAATTAGTGAAAAACAGAGATCTTTAGAAACGTTTATTATTATATTTATATGTATGTATGTATCATATTATTTTGTCATATTTGTCTGCCACACCTTAAAGGCCGGTCTGTGAAACTATTGTCTAAAGGCCCATATACAGACATGGACAAAACTGTTGGTACCCCTCTGGTAATGAAAGAAAAATCAACAATGGTCACTGAAATAACTTGAAACTAAGAAAAGCAATAATAAATAAAAATGAAAATCAGACACTGTTTTTGAATTGTTGTTCAATAGAATCATTTTAACAAACAATCTGGCCTAGACAAAAATGATGGTTCCCCAAGAAAAGATTGTAAATAACTGAACAATAGGGACATGTTAAACTTCAGTGTGTCTCTAATCTGCATCACAGGTTCTTCAAACTTGTCCTCAGTCAGTCTGTCTGTTTAAAGGGGGACATGTGTCATTGTGCTGTTTGGAGACATGATGGACACAACACTGAACATGGACTAGAGAAAGAGAAGAATAGAACTGTGTCAGGAGACTAGAAAGAAAATAATAGACAAGCAGGTTAAATATAAAGACAATAAGACCATCTCCAAGCAGCTTGATGTTCCTGTGATTACAGTTACACATGTTCTTCAGAAGTTTAAGGTCCACAGGACTGAAGCCAACCTTCCTGGAAGCGGCTGCAAGAGGAAAGGTGATGACAAATACAAGAGATAGATCATACAAATGGAACCAAAGAGTCTAAAACAACCTCCAAACAAATTAAATGTGAACTCGATTCTGTATAACCACAGGTGAAAAGCAGTGTTTGAGTTTCGTTGGACGATTTTCAGTAAAAAAAAAATGTATTATTGCTTTTATGAGCTTCAAGTTATTTGAGTGACGATTGTTGATTTTTCTTTGATTGCCAGAGGGATACCAGCAATTTTGTCCATGTCTGTAAAGCTATTTTCTGATATATGTTATAATGTTGTTTCCTCACGGACCTGTTGAACCTACAGAACTAAAAGTAAAAAGCAGCTGTTAACTTCAAAACTTAAAAACAGAGTATTTTAATAAACCAGGATTACACAAATGTGTGATTGAAACACAGCACAACTCCAGGTATGTTTTTGAGGAGGCAACAATGTTCTAATTCACAAGTGTCAATTTTGCATAATATAGGGCCTTGCTGTGACATTCCCATTTAAACACTCCCTGCAAAATATGAATATCTGTGTGTTGATGACACGAGTACAGTTTAAGACCAGGTGAATATGAATAATATTTAATTTCCAACAGCAGAAGTAATTTAACTATGTTTTCAAAACTAATGTCGTGTGTGTGTGTGTGTGTGCGTGTGCGTGTCTGTGTGTGTGTGCGTGTCTGTGTGTGTGTGCGTGTCTGTGTGTTTGTGTGTGTGTCTGTGTCTTTGTGTTTGTGTGTCTCTGTGTGTCTGTGTATGTTTGTGTCTGTGTCTTTGTGTTTGTGTCTGTGTGTGTGTGTGTGTTTGTGCGTGTCTGTGTGTGTCTGTGTGTCTCTGTGTGTCTGTGTGTGTCTGCGTGTGTCTGTGTGTGTGTCTGTCTCTTTGTGTTTGTGTGTGTCTATGTGTGTGTGTCTGTGTGCGTGTGTGAAGCTGTTCACTAAACAGGATGTGGTGAGGAGGGTGTCGTCCCTGCAGACCAAAACCTACAGTGAAGCGGTGGAGTCGGGCCCCTGTGCTGTGTGCCTGGAGCCTTTCTACAGCAGCCAGGTACAACATCACTTCACAGTTCAGGATAGACTCATTAGAATAGTGTGGTATCAGCCCATGACGTCTACAAGTACCAAATGCACCTATTCCAATATTGCACTTTGAGAATGAAGTGTTTAAGCCTGCTGTCCTTTAGCAGATGCAGGAAGAAAACAGTTCTGTGGCTAAAACCATCTTTGACAATATTCCAAAAGAGCACACTTTAAACTTGTATCCAGTCTTTTTACTTCAATAAAGTTAGAGAAAGTCAGACCGTCTGCTGCTGGGGTAAGGGGAGACCAGTGCAAGGCAGGAGTCTGGAGAGTTGCATACTTTTTACTTCTGATGAATTTTCAATTTAAAGCAAGAAATCCACAGAATGGGAAAGTCTGAGAAAGTTATTTTGCTCTGTAACTATTCCAGGGTACAGGCCTGGAACAGGGAGGACTTTGACTTTTTCAAATCAAGGGTATTACTTTTTAAACTGGTCCGATACATTTAACAACTGATTTTGTCCTGAAAAGCTCTTACTTACATCTCTTTTGTTCTCAATACAAACTAGTTAAAAGAGCAAATCTATCAGTACAGTTCAAGCTGAAGCTCTTCCAGAACTACTCCTACATCTTCATTGCATTTTTATGCTTATGACATTCTAATGAAGTCAAATACAGCTTAAAAGATTGAGATTCTAGGAAGTCTATAAGACTTAAATCAGTACTAAACCAGAGACTAAAACAGAACAGATCTTACTTCAAATAAACAGAATAGACTAATAGTGCAGAAGACTCCAGAGTATCATCAACGACGTCCATCCCACTGGGAGGGCTTGAATGCAGTGTGGGAGCAGGGCGTAATGTAATGTACATGACCAGGCTGCAGTTTGAACACACCTTTTCATTCATGTTTCTTTATTTGCATGATTATTTACATTTTAGATTATCACTGAAGGTATCAAAACAATGAATGACACATATGGAAACTCAAAACAACTAAAAAAAAAAGTCTTCATCCTTTGCTTTGACTCTTGTTTGGACTTAGAACATCCCTTAAACCAGATAAGGCACAGCCTCAAAGTGAAATTAATTTCAGGAAACTTCATCATGAGGCTTATTGAGAGAAGGCCAAAGGTTTGTAGCTGTCGACAAGGAAAAGGGTGAATACTTTGTTGCCTGAATGGCCAGTCCCTTCTACGTTCTGTTCGAATCTAGAAGCGCCTGGACCCGGACCATAGATTGTGAAAAACATCCATCCAAACTTGAGACAACCACAGCTGCTCATTTGTATCATGTATCTCTCAAATGCAGAAAACATCCATCCATCCATTTTCTTCTGCTTATCCGGGGCAGGGTTGCGGGGCAGCAGTCTAAGCAGAGACTCCCACATTTCCTTCACCCCAGACACTTCCTCCAGCTCCCCTGGGGGGACCCCAAAATGTTCCCAGGCCAGTCGAGAGACATAGTCCCTCCAGCTTGTCCTGGGTCTTCACCAGGGTCTCCTTCCAGTGGGATATGAACACCTCAATAGGGAGGCGCCCAGGAGGCATCTAGAACAGAGCCTGAGCCACCTCAGCTGGCTCCTCTTGACGTGGTGGAGCAGCGGCTCAACTCCGAGCTCCACCTCTGTGACTGAGCTCCTCACCCTATCTCTAAGGGAGGCCCAGCCACCCTGCAGAGGAAACTCATTTTGGCTGCTTGTATCCGCGATCTTGTCCTTTCGGTCATTACCCAGAGATCAGTACTATTGGTGAGGGGAGGAACAACGATTGACCCGTAAATCTTCACCTCAACAGTTCCATCCACCTGTCTATCTCACGCTTCATCCTCCCCTCACTCATGAACAAAACCCTGAGATACTTGAACTCCTCCACTTGAGGCAGGGACTCTCCACCCACCCAGAGAGGACAAGACACCTTTTTCCGGTCGAGAACCATGGCCTCGGACTTGGAAGAACTGCTCCTCATTCCGGCCACGTCACACTCGCCTGCAAAATGCCCCAGTGCACATTGCAAGTCCTGGTTTGATGAAGAGATCAGAACAACATCATGTGCAAACAGCAGAGATGAGATCCTGTGGTCCCCAAACCATACCGCAAAGAAAACATCTTCCCTTGAAAATTCTCGTAACGTTCCATATAAAATATACAACTTCTTTTACCTGAAATAAGAAATAGCTTGGTGCTTTGACTCTTGATCCCTTGGAAACTGCCATGTTTGTTTTTGACATGAATGGAGCATGCGTTTCTCTGCGCTCATTGGTTAATCCACTTGTCAGTCATTCCCTCTGAAATAAGGGAGACGGGACACAGCTCCAGATTTGTGTCTGTAAAGTTTTGTCAAAGCATGTGGTTTTGGCTGGTCAGGTTGATATAATTCCACGTATCTTGCATTATATATTTAATTCTTCTGTATTTATATGAAATGGAAAGAATAGAAAACACAGGGAGAAGACCCTTGAATGACTGACTGACTGACTGGTAATGTATGTATTGTTCTGTATTGTGTCGTGTTGTACACAGTGCCTGCGCGTGCTGCCCTGTGGACACGAGTACCACCAAGACTGTGTGGACCCCTGGCTGCTGCTGCGCCACACTTGCCCCCTGTGCAAGCGCTGCATCCTCGGTCAGACCTCATCTGTACACCACTGCTTCTCCTGCTCAGTATGGAGCTCAGCAGTGACCACCTGTTCCAGTTCAGGAAGTATATTTTCCATTAATTTTACCCATAGACTTTTTTTATTTTATTTTTTTGTATTTCAATACATCGTGAAGGCTAGCCAGCTACGTGCTAACTAATATCCATGGTTGTTATAAGTCCAAAAAACACATTTAAAACGCAACATTTTTCCAAGTCTATGGGAAACATGAGAAATTTACTTCTGGGACCAGGGGGTGGGTGGTCACTGGTGAGTTCCAAAGAGCTGTTGAATTAATCAAAATCATGGAAGGTGATACAAAAATGGATCTGTTCATTCACCAAACCATCTCATTACAGGTGCTGCATGTAGAGACAGCTGACAGTGGACTTCATGGCTGCGCAGATAGCCTAAAGATTCCCCAGGTGAAGATGTCCTGTTTGGGGCATGGAAGTGTTCTGGAGGCACTGGGCTGTGTAACATGTTTAAACTAGATTTGTGAAATCTCGTGAAAACAACCCCAAAGAGGCATCTGCCGCTCAGGGATCCTTGTCATACTTAAAGACTTTTTATTAATTCATTAATTGTTAACGTTAAACCCAAACATGTTAAAAGGTCCTATATTATGCAAAACTGACTCTTGTGAGTTTTAAACCATGTTAAATTAAATTAAATTATACCTGCATGTTTTGTTGCATTCATATGTTTGTGTAATACTTCATTATTTGTCTATCGCCAAAGCTCAAAATGCTCTGTTCCATCTTGTGATGTTATGTAGTGGTAGTTTTCAAGTTAACACCTACATTTTATCTTTTTGTTCAGTAGAGACTGGCAATTCCAGGTGTATGGAGTTCAAAACACTTCCTGTATTATCGCATGACATCAAAAGGTGGAGCAGTGTTTTCTGTGTGAGAGAAGAACTCGGCCTAAATATACAGGGGTTGTGTGTTAAACATGTGTGAATGAAACAAAACAACTGATGGTATGTTTTTCATGAGGAAACAACATTATAACATATGTCTCAAAACGGTGATCACCTCCATGCTACGGCACATTGATGTCAAAGGAGGCCCAGCCAACTATTGAGTGCATAGAAATGAACATATTTTCAGAAGTCTGACATTTCTACTTAAAATTTTTTTTTTTTTTTATTGATCTTAACACAATATTATTATATAATTGGCTCTTAAATGAGATGAAAAAATATTGGAACTTTTTCACTATATTATTTTTTGAGATGGTCTGTAGATCAGAAAATAGCATAAAATGGGCCCTTTAAACTCTTTGAACTGTACATTTGAAAGCTTTTTAATGATGATTTCCTTTTCATTTCTTCATAACTCATGGACTTCTCAATGTGAACAAATGCATTAGTTCTGCTTTGTAAAATATGTGGAGACTCGTGGCTTCTATAAGCAGTGATGGAAAGTCACTAAATACATGTTCAGAAAATACGTATTCAGAATACTAATGACTGTATTCCAGTTGTGACAGTCAGAGGACATTTACTTTGCTAAAATCAAGGGACTACAGAGTGAAATGTGGTTGTAAAATTTTGCCTTTAAACTGCACAGATAAAGTGAGTAAAATGGAAACACTGCTCTTGTGATGACAGCTTTATTCTCCAATTAGTATGTTTTTATTTACATGGCTCGTTTCAAAGACATATGTCACAAAACGCTTTACAGAGCATTATTTCATTCACTCCATACCCGGTGGTGGTAAGCTACTATTGTAGCCACAGCTGCCCTGGGGCAGACTGACAGAAGCACGGCTGCCAGCCAATCAGCGCCACAGGTCCCTCCAACCACCACCATCACACACACACACACCACTTTCATACTAGGCAATGTGGGTGAAGTGTCTTGCCTAAGACAACGACAGTTTTGTGATTGGCGCCCCCCTATGGCACATGATTTTCCCTGAGGTCTCCCATCCAAGTATTAACTAGGCACTGCCTTGCGCTTTTGAGATCAGACAGGATCAGGCTTTTACAAACCGGTAATTAGTGATAAATAATTGCAACCCTGTCATCTTTTTACACTTTAATATAATGTAACTCTATGTGAAAGTATTCTAAGTGTTCAGAATATAGTACTCTGAACATGTTACAAAATGCATTTTAGGGTTAGGGTTTTACTCAAGTAAAAGTAAAGTATTTGGGAAGAGTATTACTCAAGAGTAACTTAATGAGTAACTTTCAGGATGTAACATTGATTTAAAATTTAAGTGAATCTAATTAAAGATAGACGCAAAAATTTGACAAACTGTAGCAGTCCCTCAGATTCAATAAAACACAGAGAGCTTCGACTGGTGCGAATATTTTACAGATTTCAGCAACATCAAACAGCACAGTGAAAACTACACGGAAAAGAGAAACAGAAAACATGAATATTTAACAATAAGATCAAATATACTTACATTAATGGTAAAAAAAACTAAAATTCACCACATTCACTAATACATATAAACAAACAAACAAGTACCTCGCTCCGCTGTCTGAGGGCTGCAAGTATTAAACAAAATTTGATGGTGGTATGACACATGTCTCAAGCTGACAAGTTCTGCAGCTATTTACTTCTGGAGGGGTGTGGTTGAACAGGTAAGGTTAGGGCGCCATCTACTGGACTGGCTGATATTTACACAAACTAAATCATAACTGAAGGAGCTGCAAGAAACACAAATGTTCAAATCATGTCATATTGTCACATAAAGCTTTTGTGACTTGTAGACTTACTCACAGTGGGAAGAGTCACCAAAACCAAAACAAGTAAAAGTTTCTAAACATGACGCAACTTAGTTCACAGCCCACATGAAGTTCTGCTTCCTGTGATTTTCATCAGAAGTGTCGTGCTGAATGTCTCTATAAAGATGGTGAAACAGTCTAAGAGAAAACCTACTGATTCTTTTAATAAAATCTGTATAACACCAACTTATTGTGTCATTTATTTTAAAGTGTATGAGAGTAGCCAAAAATTTTACTCAAGCAACGTTACTTCAAATGTTATATTACTGTGAGGTACTGTGTGCGTCCAGAATGCACTGATTACTGATTCATACTCAACTGAGTCGTCCTCGGTCAGAAGGCAGGAAACTCCACTGATACAAAAGGTAGATGTTTATTGAAGAGGAGGGAACAGGTGATATTTGACGATGTTTGTTGATGGTTACATGTGTGGTTATCTGAAAAACAAAAAGAACAAAAATACATACATTAGAAAACAAACAAACAATATGAAATGAACAGGGGAAAATGACTGCTATTATACAGAAAAACCACAAGTGGGAGCTCCAACACAATAAATAAATTGCACATGGAGCCCTGTAGACCACGATCAATCTGTGCGCCGCACAGTGTAATAGCGATAGCGTTAACATGTTATGAAATTAACAACTACACATTTCAAATAAACTAACAAATTATAAACAATACTCACCCTGCGTGAACGCACACGGTACATATACACACACAAAAAAAGGCACAGGTGCTCGGGACCAACACGAGGCTCCGCTACTTATGCAACAAGAGCCCGAGCGTACCGGAATTACAATCAGGTGCATTATGGGTATCGTAGTCCCATGCACATCGGACTTTTAACAATTACTCAAGTAGAAGTTGTCAGCTTCTCCTGGAGGCAGCCTAAACAGAGGATCTTAAGAAAGAGACTTGAAGAGTTAGAAAAGGTCTCAGACATGTCTCTTTATTAATTCAGGCAGATTCAGGTCTCAAGATTCAAGTTGATTCAGCATGATTTTGCCTACGCGGCGTCTCTCTGTGCGTCGGTCGTCCCTCGACAACGCAGTCAGCGTTCCCCCACTGATGCACAGAAAAACTGGATGCCTTTTATACCAGCATAACTGTTGAGTTAACATCTTCATGGAAACATACACAGCACTTTGTCCCAACACGTGTCCCATAACAGATTGGCATATGCTAAAGGTTGGAGACACACCCCTTATCTGTCCTATATACATTCACAGTCCATATGACATCATATCCCAACCCCATTGACACTCCAAAGTCCAAAAACATACACAACATGTCAAGGAACACAGAGATTAATTACAGGGCGTATTAACATATGAATGAAACTTTAAAAACACAGGGTAGAAGCCCACAAAGTACAGAGTAGTAGTTCAAGAAATTAGTACAAAAAGTATTTCAGAAAACTACTACTCATGTAAGTGTAAGTGAAAGAGTAACTGTCGGGACATAAACATGTGATTTGCAATTTGAAGTTCCAGTAATCCGATATTTTCAAAGTACAGACAAAAAAAAAACAACCAAAAAACGACATTATATGGGAAAGAGCAACACAAGAAATGCAGAAGTGACATAAGGTTTATGTATATACCATATGAAGACTTATTTATAGTGGGAAGAGGAAACTAAACTTTTACGTAAATATAAATTATTCAAAAAGGAGTAAAAGTATGCTGCTAGAAAGGTACTTTGAAAAGTACAATTTCTTCAAAGAAATACTGAACAAATTAAAACTGAGTAAATGTAACTGAGTACTAACCACCACTGATGAAAACTGTTCTATAACCTCTCATTAAAATGTAGTTACCCTGATTATATATGAAGGGTTTGTTCTAATTTGCACAATTTTGCTGAACTTCCTGAACACGGGCATCAAATATGACATGAGCAAAAGCTCATCAAAATTATGCAATAGTGATTATTTGACAAATAAAAATACATAACTACAACTTTATGTTGTTAAATCAGTGTTTGAAATGCCAAATGTGTTCCTTGCGAGCAAAGCTTATCCCTGCATTTGTGGATGGAATTCTTGTTTGTGTTGATGGCATAGGAAGAGGGATTCCAACCACTTATCTTGATGTAAAATTACACAAGTACTACCCACCAAATCAAGTGAGAATTAGAAAAACATGAAAACGAGATGTACTTTAATCAAGCCCTAGTGGTGCAACCCAAGCCTATAAGTGCAGCAGTGATTTGACAACATGCATTTCATTTTATTGTTAAATACAATTTAGTTTATTATGACCATTTTTAAACATGTGCTGAATGTGCTAGTCCTTTGACCACAAGCTCAACAATTGCCAGAGCTCTGTTGGTTTGCTTGAGTGGTGACACTGCCATAAGCCCTGGAGTCCCAGAGCCCAGGGCTCACATGGGGATCATGCCCTTGTTCTTCTTGCGGTCTGCCAGCATGCGGCGGTTGTGGTTGGCTCCGCGGCTTTTATTGGCCTCTTTCTTGCGGCGGTCCAGCACTGTCTCCAGGCTCTGCCCCTGCCCTCTGAGCTGTCCCACCACATGGCTGGGTCGCTCTTGTCTGTACCTGGAAAACAGTGAAAGCTCCTATATTATTCTTTACTCTTTAGCTTTTAGCCATGTTAAAATGTTGTTACCTCATCAGAAACATATTTTGAGTTATGTTTTGTTTCATTCACATGTTTGAGTAACTCTTTTTAAATAGTCCGTCTACATCTTCAAAGCTCAAAATGCTCTGTTCCACCTTGTGATCTCATGAAGCTGTAGTTTTGAAGTTAACAGCTACCTTTTACGTTTTGTTCATTCCAGCACTGAAATTATACAAATTATTCTACTAAAGGTGCATGGAGTTTAAAAATACAGTGGTACACTTCCTGAATGGCATCACAAAGTGGAACAGAGCATTTTCTGTTCGAGAGAAGAACTCATTTTGAGTCCCAAAATGTATTGTTCCAGCTTTCAAATATCAGATGAAGATAATCTACAAATTACTGTATCAGGCCTACTGTCATATTTATTTTATGACTTAAAGTCCTTTCAAATGACAAATATCAGATCTGAAATTATTATCTCAAAGTACAACAGATTCAAGACATGTACAAGCACTCAAGTCTGAAATGCAAACAATGCAAGATTACTCAAACCAGCATCGATCAAATGATGAAATATTATAATGATTATAACATTGTCAAAGTTCAGAAAGGTTAATGTTAAACAATATGTCCCTTTAAAGATTGCTCACTATCTCCATTAGGACTTGTATAGAGTGTATAAGTGGAGCCCTTGTGCATAGAATGGCTGTGTGGTTTGGTGACTTACCCTCTCCTCTGCTGCATGGCGGCTCTCCGAGCCTCAGCTCTCTCTCGCAGTACTGCCGGATCCTGCACAAACTGGTCACCCTGTACATTGTTCTGAAAATTTGTAAAATCCCAGGTTATATTTAAACTTTAACATACACATGAGGAAATACAAAAACATAATTCATGAGATTTGTTGAATAACTTACCATCAGGCTATGAAATTCACATTTGTGTTCAACAGAGATTGAGATGCCATCATTTATAAATCATCAAGAATCACAGCCAGTCTTGAGCCAGTAAAAGCATGTGGTTTGGAGCAGAGTTCAGACTTCTCTTAATAGCCAATTATTAAACATTTGTCATGTTTATGTTTAGGAAATGGGTATTTATGTCTTTAAGACAAAATAAACCGATGATCAATAAAGATGCATACATACATATGCATATATACATATATTTTAAGGCGAGCTCACATGTTAAGTCAGTGGTGTTACTACAGACTAATGTTAGAGAAGGATCACCTGACTGTGTCCTTGCTCGTCCTCAGCATCTTCCTCACTCTCCTCCTCCTCGGCTTTGTGTCCCTGACGGAGGATCTGGGGCATGGTGAATGGTCTGCAGGAGAAAACATTTTTATCAGGTCCCCTTTCCCCTCAAAAATATAAAAAAAATGAATAAAAATGGTATTTGAATAAACTTAAGAACTGCCAACATAGCCAATCATCTTTGTGTCACCAGACAGCAGAAAAAGTTACCTATGCATTAGGACTGTGGATTAGTATTGATTTTTACTATACTTTTGACAACACTAACTGCAGTTAACAATTATTTTGTTTGATTGTCCGACTACTAAAATAATTATTTGAATTGTACATTTTAATCAGATAAAGGTTAGTCAAACTTACAAATAGTTTCATCCTTTTTTATTTAATAATGCCACTGTCTCTGATGAATCATTGCGGCTTTTAATATTCAATTAACTTTTAATAAACACAATTCTGTAATAGCTGTTTAAATTAATATCTAGGGTTGACAAAAAGTATTAAAAATAATTTAATCAATACTAAAACTAGTATCGAATCGAGATGCAGTACTCATTTGAGCAGGTATTAATCCTAAAAAGTCCTCATGGCTCCTCCCTCCCAGGTGTACCTCCATTTGAGCAGGCTGTCCTGATCCAGATCGTTGGCCCCAACTTGGTTCATGTCATAGGTGTCGTCGTACTCGTCCTCATAGACCAGACTGTCTCCAGGCTCCGGGCTCACCACATCCACCACTGTGTCATAGGACCGGTACCGTTCCCTCTGATCCGCTATGTGCCGCTTGTCATTCAGCAGTTCTTTGGCGCTTTCTGCTTTTCTGTGGCAGATGTTATGTTAAAGGTCCTATATGACCTAAAATTGATTGTTGTGAGCTTTATGCCATGTTATAAAGATGTTGCCTCCTCAAAAACAACAGTTGTTTTGTTTCATTAACACATGAAGTGACCTGGGACTGCAGATAATGAATGCATTAGACTGCAAAATGAATACCAGTCTACAGTAGTTGAAATGGCTTGAACTGAAACACAATCTAGACCAGAATTCACAGCTGGTTGATAAGGACTTTGTTAATAGTTTCAAGGTATGTTGGACAGCTGTCAACACAGTTTGAATTGATATTACAATTACACTTCTATGGGGTATTAACTGCTAACACATAAGATATTTACATCACCAGCCTTTTATTGATTTAATTTTACTGCCAAAAAATGTATTAAAATGTGTAATTAGTTTCAGTTTTGTTTTTGATGCTCTGAGTCCCCTGGCTGGAATACAGGAGAATAAAAGTTACTATGACATGCATAAATCATGCTAAAAACAACTTCATGTTCAAAGTGAAACAACTATAACATGGTAAAAGCTCTGAAAAGTTTATTGTGCATATTAGGTCCATCTTAACACTTTGCTACCTTCCACATGTGTATCACTTGTACCTTCTGCCCTTCCAGATGCGAGACATATCCACCTCGTTTCGTCGGAATATGTCAAATTCATCATCGTCGAACACATTGGACCTGTGGTCAAGGACCTCTGGCAGTGGGTCTGAGGGAGCTCTAAACCACAGAGAAGGATAACACTGTTATGCCTTTAATCCGACCTTGGTTTTAACACAATCTGATAAACGTCTAACAGAGCTTCAGAGAGCAGTGCCTCCAGTTAGCTTCAAACTCATAGAATGTATAACAGAAGTGGACTAAGTGAGTGTGATGTCGCCGATTCACATAATATACAGTCAAGCCCAAAATTATTCATACCCCTGACAAATTTTGACTTTGACTTTTATTCAACCAGCAAGTTTTTTTCTTGATCAGAAATGACACAGGCATCTCCCAGAACATAATAAGATGATGTACAAGAGGCATCATTGTGGAAAAAAAAATTTTCTCAGCTTTTATTTACATTTGAACGAAAAGTGGCATGTTCAAAATTATTCATACCCTTCTCGATAATCAATAGAAAAGCCTTTATTGGTTATTACAGTAATCCAATGCTTCCTATAATTGCTGATCAGTTTTTTGAATGTCTCCACTGATATTTTTGCCAAGTCATCTTTAGCGATGAGCTCCAATGCTTTCAGATTGGAGGGTCTCCTTGCCATCACCCTGATCTTTAGCTCCCTCCACAGATTCTCAGTTGGATTCAAGTCAGGACTCTGGCTGGGCCACCGCAAAACGGTAATGTTGTTGACCAATAACCATTTCTTCACCACTTTTGCAGTGTGCTTTGGATCACTGTCGTGCTGAAATGTCCACTGTTGCCCAAGTCTAAGTTCCTCTGCAGCTGCTTGATGTTGTTGTTGAGAATCTTGATTTATGGCTCTTTATGGAGCCGTTTACTGTGATTAGACTCCCTGGACCATTGGTTGAAAAAACATCTCCAAAGCATTAGGTTCCCACCATCATGTTTGACAGTGGGGATGGTGTTCTTAGGGTTGAAGGCTTCTCCTTTTTTATCATCAATACATCATTGTGGCTAAACAATTCTATTTTTGTTTGGTCTGACCATAAAACAAAAGACCAAAAGCCTTCTTCTTTGTCCAGATGAGCATTTGCAAAGGCTAAACGGGCTTTTGTGTGCCTTATCTGGAGAAGTGGCGTCCTCTTTGGTCTGCGTACCCAGCGTAACCCAGCAGTATGTCATGTCTGTTGCATTGTCTGCCTTAAGATATTCCACCTTCAGAGCCCAGATTCACCTGGATGGCCTTGGTGGTGATCTGTGGATTCGTTTTCACCTCTCTCACTATCCTCCTGGCCAGCACAGCACTTTTTGGCTTCCGATAACATCCTCTGAGATTTTCCAGAGTGTGGAACGTCTTTTATTTTGTAATAATTCTTTGCACTGTAGCCACTGGAACTTGAAAACATTTAGATATGGCTTTATAACCCTTTCCTGACTTGTGAGCAGCCACAATACGCAGCCGTAGATCCTCAGAGAGCTCCTTTGTCTTAGCCATGACTGTTCACAAACCAACTGCAAAGATCTGCTGTTTTTCACCTGTTCAGTTGCTTAAAACAGTTCTTCCCAATGAATCAGGGCAATTAGGAAGTTTTAGAACAGTTTGTGCTGTTTGGAATGGTATAGTCCTTTGGATTTTTCCATAGACTCTGACAAAGGGTATGAATAATTTTGGACATGCCACTTTTTGTTCAAATGTAAATAAAAGCTGAGAAATATTTTTCCACAGTGATGCCTCTTGTACATTGTCTTATTTCCTGGGAGACGCCTGTATCATTTCCAATCAAGAAAAAACTTGCAGGTTGAATAAAAGTAACTTTAAGTCAAAATTTGTCAGGGGTATGTATAATTTTGGGCTTGACTGTATATGTTGTCCTTTAAGAACAACAATATGCCACCTCTTTTTCGTGGAAATGAACAACAGGTGCACTAGAGTGTCAATTTTGCATATGGAGGTAATTTAAAGTTTCTCCCTCTTGGTCTTTTTTGGCTGGTTTTCCCCTAATGCTGCTTTCGCTAGAGTGATTATCACTACTGGGAGTATGAGGTCATTCCTTAACCCTACAGAAAGTTTGATTATCCAGCTTCTCCAAGATGGCACATCCAGACGTGGTGTTGCAAGAACATTTAGGGTCCATGCATCTGTTCCACTGTCACAGCTCTGAGCTGTCAGTCAATGCACACACAGTGTCCGGCCGCAAGAATGTGAGGAAATCTGACATCGCAGTATTAGGACCGCAGACCGAATAAGAAACCAGACTTCAGGACATCGCTGTAAACGGCCGCATGTGAATGAGCAGCTTTTGTACAGATCCAGACCAAACCAAACTATAGAGCAGAGCTGAACTGATACAGGGAGCGGGAGACGGGCTGTGCTCTGCTGTGGGAGAGCATCTGGACGACTCCCGCACAGCACACGAACATGTTATGAATTTTAAGTATTTATCATCCTAATATATTTCCAAATAAAAGAAGTCTTGAGCATGTTACACGTTGTTTTTCAGCTGACTCGTCTGATATTTATTTTTACGATTCTGGCAATTCAACGCCAGACGCGCCACACCACACCCTCAGTCTGCTCCACTCCACCTGATATTCAGCCACGACACACCTCCTATTTAGAACTCCACGCCCCACATTTTCGCTAAGCGCTAAGACTGGGGGCAAGATACGGCCCTTAGTGTGTTTCCAGTACAATGTCCAGAACACAGAGATTTCAGGAGACGGGCAGTTACTCTAGGAGAGCTGTACAGAACTGTAGAAGGTCCTCAATCCATCAGTGGGACCAATATCTGCTCCTTTGTGCAGGACGAACAGGTTGAGCACTGCCCGTGCCCTACAGAATGACCTCCAGCAGGACACTGGGGTGAATGTTTCTGCCTAAACAATCATACACAGGCATGAGGGTGGCTTGAGGAGCCCACGTCCTGTAGTGGGCCCTGTGCTCAGCACCCAGCACCATGGAGTTTCATTGACATTTGCTAGACGACGCCAGAATTGGCAAGTCCACCACTGGACCCCTGTGCTTTTCACAAATGAGAGCAGATTCACCCTGTGACAGACGTGAAAGAGTCTGGAGAAGACAAGGAGAATGCTATGTTGTCTGCAACAAAGGTTCAGCGTGAGTGGTTTGGTGGTGGGTCAGTGATGGTCTGGGGAGGCATATCCATGGAGGGACACGGAGACCTCTACCAGCTAGAAAAGACAAGACATACTTCACTGCTGGTGCACGTCAATACCCGGGCAAGTGGCAAGAGTCTGCAGGCAGTACCTGGAAGATGAAGGGATTGATACATCTGAATGGCCCTCACGATCACCTGACTAAACCCGATGGAACACCTCTAGGACATTATGTTTGGGTCCATCAGACACCGCCAGGTTGCTCCTCAAGACTCTACAGAAACTCAGTGATGCCTTTACACAGATCTGAGAAGAGATCCAACAAGACACCATCCGTCGTCTCAAAAGGAGCATGCCACAATGTTATCAAACATGCATAGAAGCACGTGGGGGCCACACAAGATACTGACGAAGCATTTTGAGTTGCAGAGTTTGAGTTGACTCCATTTTGCCTAAATGTAATATTTAGGCAAAATGGACTAGCCTGCCACATCATTATTTCACTTTGACTTTCAGGGTGTCTTCAAAATTAGGCTGCAGGCTGAAAATGTTACTCTATATATACATATACAAAAAAAAAAGAAAAATGTTCCTCATCTTCCACAGTGGTTGGTCTCTCTCACTCTCATCCAGCTCGGCTCCTCTACCAGAGGCCTGGGAGCTTGAGGGTTTCGCGCAGTATCAGCAGTTCTTAGTACTGCACTTTTCTGGACTGAGATGTCTGATGTTTTTCCAGGGATCTACTCTAACCACTCCTCCACTTCGGGGATTACAGTCCAGAGTGCTCTGATCACCATGGGTTCATTGCAAACTCAATGTGGTTGTGGAAAACCACCCTTGAAGCCAATGGGAAGCCACTTGCACAAGTGTCCATCAAATGTGGCATATACCAAGGAGACTCACTGTCCCCACTGCTGTTCTCAGACAGATCATTGACCGCACTGGCTAAGGATACCAACTCAGAAACGGGGCCACCATCAGTCACCTCCTCTACATGGATGACATCAAGCTGTACGCTAAGAGTGAGCAAGACATCGACTCACTGATCCAAACCACAAGGATCTACAGCACAGACATTGGAATGTCATTCGTGCTTAAGAAATGCAGCAGGATGGTGACAAAGAGAGGGAAGGTCATTCACACAGAGGGGGTCTCACTCCCAGAGGGAACAATAGCAGACACTGAGGACAGTTACAAGTACCTTGGTATCCCACAAGCAAATGGCAACCTCGAAGAGGCAACAAGGAAAGCGGCTACGGACAAATACCTGCAAAGAGTGAAACAAGTCCTGAAAAGCCAGCTCAATGGCAAGAACAAGGTGCAGGCAATCAACAGCTACGCCCTGCCAGTGATCAAATACCCTGCAGGAATCATTAGATGGCCAAAGGAGGAGATACAGACCACAGATGTTAAGACACGAAAGCTCCTGACCATGCATGGAGGGTTCCATCCCAAATCCAGCACCCTGAGACTGTACGCAAACTGGAAGGATGGAGGCCGAGGACTAGTGAGTGTGATAACCACTGTCCAGGATGAAACATCCAAGCTCCTTGAGTACATCAAGGACAAGGCATCAACAGATGAGGTGCTCAGAGAATGTCTCAGACAGTGGGGTCCAGAGGAAGAGGTGCTGGAGGAACCATCATCAGCAGGACATGACCCTACACGGGGCGTACCACCGGAACATAACTGAAGTGGCTGACATCAAGAAATCCTACCAATGGCTTGAGAGGGCTGGTCTGAAGGACACACAGAGGCTCTCATCCTGGCTGCTGAGGAGCAGGTCATGGGCACTCGAGCAATAGAGGCCCAGATCTACCACACCAGACAAGATCCACGGTGTAGACTGTGCAAAGAGGCTCCTGAGACAGTCCAGCACATAACTGCAGGGTGTAAGATGCTGGCAGGGCACACATACATGGAGCGACAGAACCAAGTGGCTGGCATAGTGTACAGAAACATCTGTGCAGAGTACGGGCTGGAGACCCCAAGGTCACGGTGGGAAACACCTCCAAAGATTGTGAAGAACGACCGAGCCAAGATCCTGTGGGACTTCCAGATACAGACTGACAGGATGGTGATGGACCAACCAGACATAGTCATGGTGGAGAAGAAACAGAGCGGAGCCGTGGTGGTGGACATCGCAATACCAAGCGAGGGTAATATCAGGAAAAAGGAACACGAGAAACGAGAGAAATACCAGGGGCTCAAGGAGTAGCTGGAGAAGGTCTGGAAAGTGAAGACATTAGTGGTGCCTGTGGTGATCGGAGCACTTGGGGCTGTAACCCCCAAACTGGAAGAGTGGCTACAGCAGATACCGGGAAAAACAACGGACATCTCAGTCCAGAAAAATGCAGAACAGGAACAGCAAAGATACTGTGCAGAACTCTCAGGCTCCCAGGCCTCTAGTAGAGGAGCCGAGCTGAATGAGGGTGAGAGACCTACCACCGTGAAAGGTGAGAAACACTTTTTTTTTTTTTTAAACATATATATATATATATATATATATATATATATATACATATATATACATATGTATACATATACACATATACACATATATACATATACACATATATAATGACACATATATATGCCAGAAGTGACAGCTTATTAGTTTTTATGTCAAATTCAAACTCCCAAGCTCAATGTACTTATGCTGTTGCAACAATACAATCTCTTCACTGTGAGACATATACAGTTTGATCATTTCATCTGATGTCTGCCCCTTGAACCCTCGCTCATGTTTCCTCTGTGGTTTCCTTCTCTCACCTAATATTACATATTTGACTCACAAATGAAAAATTGAGGAGAGGGAGCAAGGAAAGAGAATTACAATAAAGTAGCATTGTTAGCAGCAGCAGCCATGGTTACCTCGGCATGGAGCGGTCCAGCGAGCTCAGACTGGGGCTAAGACGTTCCTCTAGGATGTTGTTGATCACTACTTCAGAGTTGTAGTCGTATTCTTCTAGGCAGGCCAGTAGGAAGCCCTCCCCCAGATCAGGCAGCAGATCTCTGACAGTGGAGAGCAGCGAGTCCACCTCTGCCGTGCTCAGTGGACACACCTGACCACATGAATGAAAGTGGATATCATGCACTGGTTTTTGTACAACAGCAACAGTGCCTGAATGTTTAAGACAGTGTTGTCTTTTTTTTCACCAAGTGCCACACGTTGATACATATTTGAAGTGGCAGTCCACAGACCAGTAGTCAATTCAGTGATTCCTTCAGATGGGTGCATTTTACATAGTTTTTGAGTCACTGTACCTTTAATAAGGCTTGGATAATGTTTAGCCCTGTATCATACTGCAATGATATTGAAGTAATAATGGTAGAATTAGGATTGCAGTAAAAGGTAGTACCTATGATGGGTATAAGTGGGCCATAGTTTGGACACCTCTATTTTAAGACATCTGTGGCTCTGTCCTAATACACTTTTGATCTTCATTGGGAAGCCTTATTCAACTTTCAGCATGACTCAGCAGTTACTCACATGTTTCCTTTGGGGCCCTTCTGAGTTCTGTGCTGCTGGCTGCCCCCCTTCTTGTTGTCTTGGTTGTTCCCCTGGTTGTCCTAGGGCTTTTTGTGATTGTTGGGTGAGTGTCCATAGGTTGTCCTCCCTCTTTTGGGCTGGGGCCTCCGGTCTTCTTGTCCCTACACTATCCACAGCACTTTGTACACCCTGAAGCAGGTATGATGTCCTTGTTTCATCACTAAACACATCTGGCTCAGGAAATATTTTCATATTTAGTGTTAAAAGGAAAAAGTAGGTTCAGATTGGCAGCCTCACTTTAGTCAGTCTACCCCAGAGCAGGTGTGGCTACATTAGTGGCTTACCACCACATTGTGTGGAGTGAATGAATAATGATTACAGTGTAGCACTCTGAAAGGCTTCAACAAGCATATAAAGCACATAACAAGCGGAAGGCTTATTAAAGTAATTAGAGTCTTTTTTATCTTTGGTGGTTGTAGGTGTAAATGGTTTGAACCACCCATTGTTTTATAGGCAAAAAACACTGATATTCTTTAATATGTTTCTTCCAGGAGGCTTCTTTGAATCCATGCAAGTCCATGCACTTTCACCAAACTTGCACTAATCATTTAAATGCTTGAATTACCAATACTGCAATAGTAACAGCTTCATACCAACTTCACTTTCCAATATACATCTTAGCACACCATATCAAGCTGGCATTCTGTGACAAGTCTCATTCCATTAACAATATTATAGTGATTCTACTGGAAATATCACAATGGTTTGGCAACTAAACTTAACTTACGTTAATAAAGACCAATAATTTGCTATACGTGCAGTTGTTTCCATGGGAATGTTATTGCTTTGTCTGCTTTACTCCCCAGTATGTTAACGAACTTCTTTATGTTGCATTTATACGATGCTGAGGTGCTCTTCTGAGTTGTTTATCCCAAGGAATAGATCATTTTTCAGCCGACTGTGGAGTATTCCAGGCAAAATACTAACATGACATAGCGTACATTCATCATGCTTGAAATGAGGAGGATACATGAGAGGAAGGGCTTGCTGCAGGAGGCTGATATCATCGACAATGGGGAACTGCTCATTGTAGTCACACAAAAACCTGACAAAAACAAAACGCAATACTGCTGCAAATACTTCACTTTGATGTCATTTAGTGAGCCTTGGAGTGGTACCTTTTCTCGGGTAAAAATGAGGTGAAATTGTGGAGGAGCTCTTCTGCACACTTCTGTATGTTGTCTCCCCTGTGTAGGCAAAAAAAACCTTAAATTTCCCTCAAGATCAATAAAGTATCTCTAAAATGCAAATGATCTGAGTTATACCTACTTATTAAATTGTCATACTGTTTATTTCTACTGGATTAATATGTTCTTGGGAAACAGTACTTCTGTTGAGGTTCAGTCTGTGTGCATACTGTTGAACTATAGTTGTTTGCATACACTGAATCAATGTGTGTGAATTATATTTGATGTATAGTACTTTGGGCCCAGAAGATATTTATAATGTCACTTGAGATTATAAACTTAAGGTAGTTTTCTCCCAGCAGTCAATCAATGCCACACTCTAGGTTGAATCAATGTGGAGAAAACCACCTGGAGCTGATGCCCATTAGCCCCACTGCTATCTCTGGTGTGAGTCACAGTCACTAGCACAAAACCTAGAAGAAGCTACTAGATTAGCAGCAAAATACTGGTTGAAAATGTTTGGTGATTCAATTTCGCGAGAATATTCTAAATAGTGTTTTCTATGATTGTGATGATTGTGGTATCAGAATAATATCAAATATCAAGTCTATTCCTTAATATCAGAATAGAGTTTGACATTTTAGTATTTTAGTATTATGACAAAACTACCATAATATAATTATTATCGAAACCTTGTGGGGGGCCAAATGCCCAGGTCTGTTGTACAGGATGACTGTTGTGTATGTGGAGCTCACCCTTCCAGAATGGGCTGGAGACAGGTGTGGTGCAGCAGCAGGTGAACTGTGTCCACCATTCTCCGGCACGAGTGGGACAGTCGCAGCCACAGCTCCATCTGCAACCTGCAACGAGCACAGTACCAAGGACACATGTAGGACAGTACCCAGGGCACATGTAGGACAGTACGCAGGATACATATTGGACAATACCCAAGTGCCAGGTTAGGGTAAGCCCAGACATAAGTGCACCTGGTCGTAGCCTGTGTGCTCACAAGAAAACAGGGTATTCTGTTCCTGTTGTTTACAGTTGGAATACCAGAGACCTTTATTCTAAGTGCCAGGGGAAGTGTTTAGCCGCTATTAGTGGGACTTCCACACATAGCAGAGTAACTTGAGTCTTCTTTACACAGCCCTGTTCAATCAGCCACAGCAGCGGGGGCATATGACCAGGCAGAGCAGGGGGCACATATGAACAGACAGAGTGGGTGTACCACGTAGAAGCCTGGCTGATGCATTAGTCGTAAGGCTTTCACTTTCAGATTTAAGAGGGTTAAGCCTAGTCTTAAGACAAACTTCAGGACACATGAAGGAGCAGTGCAAGAAAAACAAATCAAATCATTTAATCCAGAACCCAGACCCTAAATCATTGAAAGAAAATAAAGGTGGGTAAACTGGGAAAATATAAATAAATAATTCCTAAATATAAAACTAAAAGCTTTCTGGGAGGGAAAAGGAGACAAACTTTTCCCCACCCAAAAAGCGTATTATAAAAGGATACCTTTCAGACAAAAATCAGATGAGTACACAATGTCTTTAGCTAAAACATTTTATTTATTGTAAACTTTAGCCATTTGAGTTTATGAAGTTTTGGTGTGAGAGCTGATTGACTGTTCAAGAGTGTTTTAAAGTTGTACTGGTAGCCATGTGAATACTAGCGATGGTCCAAGACCAAGCGCTCAAAGAGCTAGGAACTACTTACATAGATTTCAATACAAACTTCATTTTTCACAGCAAATTCCTAGTTTGCATATAACCGTCTTTCTGATAAGGGAGTGCGGTTGATTAAACCCATATAGGTACTTACCCTTTGTCATCAAATGTTGTTTTCCTTGCTGCCTTTTCCAGTTCGGGCACAGCACTTTCATAGAAGGAGCTCAGCCTATCACAAAGCACAAGCAAATCAGAATGTGGCATGGTGGTGGTGGTGGCTGTGGGGATGGGGGCTGTGTGCACCTGCTGAGGAAGCCATGGGAGTAGAAGCTGGAGCAGGCCTGTGGGAAGATCTCCAGGAAGGCGTAGATGGTGCTGGTTGAGTCACAGAGGTACAGAAGCAGGTCAGACAACTCCTGCACATGAACATAGTAATAGGGTTGTCACAAGTATTAAAAATCAGATACTAATTGATACTAAAACTAGTATTGAAAATAGATACACATTTGATTAAGTATCGATATTAAAAAAGTCACATTCACAGTACAGACTGTATCCTGTATCAATGGAGACTGCAAGAGGCAAGAGGCTATATGGCTTTTTACACCATATGTGGCAGCACAAATGTGGCAGATGAAATACTCCCAGACTTTCTAGAGGAAACACTGTGAGGGAATGAACCATTTCATCACCAGCTGAAACACCAGAGCGGACTGAAGCCTCTTCCTCTCCTCAAACTGCCCTGACACAGATCTGCTGACTCTACCTCACAAGCGCAGTGGAAAGTTTCTGGAAAATTGCAATAGTTTGCTGCACTTGAAAATTCCCTGGGATCAATAAAGTATATAAAATCTATCTAATCTATCTCTCATCTCATATGAACTAGAGATTGAACAATTAATTTTTTTTTCATGGCCAATACTGAAAGTTTAGTATCCAGAGCAGCCAATGGGCAATAAGCTCTGTCTATATTTTTGGGCTGATATGTCGGGCCAATTTAGGTGCTTTTTGTAATATTAACTAATTTAAATTTACTACAAACCCACGCACAGCCCTTCTTTTTTTTTTTTTTACAACAAACCTCAGTTAAACGATATATTGGTATATCTCTAATATGAACTCTTGTCTCTCTGTGTATGTGTCCAAGGTATCTTGTACTCCCGCAGCTCGGTCCGTGTGGAAACTCAGATTTCAGTGTAGGGTTACATTTTATTTTACACTACCCATTCAATTTTAAATACCTACACTACCAGTCAAAAGTTTGGACACACGTTTTTATTTTGTTATTCACATCGTAGATTCTCACTGCAAGCATCTAAACTACGGATGACCACATATACAATCAACTTTCTTTTGTGTTTTTTTTAATAGTCCCCATTTGCTTTAAACCCTTAAACACTGTCTATTCTACATTCTATTCAAAGCCATAACATTTCAACATCACCATTAAAGCAGACCTATTATGCAAAATCAACTTTTCAGAGCTTTTAACTATTTTTTAGTTGTCCCCACCCCCACCATTTACACTCCAAAAGTTGTATTTGGAGTGATTCATGCATGTTTGAGCTTTCTTTAAACTGCTTACTTTCAAGAAGCCACAATATTACCCAACCCCTGCTTTCTCTGCCACCGATATATGCCCACTGCTCTGTACTTACTTTGTTTTCCCATTTTATTTTCCTAATCGGTGTAGGATTTGGCAGCGTTGTGTATTCATTTTAGTACAAAAGAACAAAAAAAATCCACTACACTCTAGCATGATTTTCAGAAATTCATCAAAAGTGCTGACAGCTTCACAGCTCTTTGTTATGATGACGTTTACAGCGACATCAGCTCCCACTGAGTACTGCAATTTTGTAACATGGAAGTCAGCAGATTTGTTTCCTTTATTAAGTAGTTTTAGATGAATATTGAATATTATTATTTAAAAAGTGCAAATAATAGCATAATGATCCACAGATGTTATAGACCCCCTCACCTGCTGGTCCATGCTGGAGAGGTCTGGCCCTCTGTGTGCACTCAGCTTCATGGGCTCCACGGCTGCAGCGCTTTCCCTCTGCAGACCACAACGCTCCAGGATGCTCTCAAACACCTACAAGTACAAGCACTCTCTTTATACAGCATAAAGAGTGGAGATGGACCAACATAGACCAATGCATCCGACTATGGCCTGTATGTTCACAAATAAACATAGCTTAATTGACCATGAGAAGGAAAGAAAAATTAAGGATTTCACAGTTTATATTCACAGGACAAATATTATGAATCATTGTTAATGTATGTCTTTTCTCACATATAATGGTGTTAAAAGGATTAACTGAGATTCAAGAGTAGGAGTTCGCCTCCTCCTGCTCCTCTCCAAAGAACCAGAGCTCACCTCAACCACACCTCTAATTACCCTGAAGCCCTTTTGTATAAAAGTCTATCCCAACAACACCGTATGTCAACACTCTCTCGACCCCTCCATCCCACCCCATGTTTATCTTTCAGCCGGAAGCCTCAACATCAAAGGAAGTGGGCCCTGAATCGGCTGGGCTAACTGCCTGAGACAGACCCCCCCACCTTGAATCTCTACCCAGGTACCACATATATTCATATCATCAATAATCTTTCTATCATATACCATTGTTGTGGCATGGTTCTTGCTTGTGAAAATGGCAATGACAGCACCATCTTGCTGAGCGACTCAATTTCTATTTTACTTACTTGCCCAAAAGTGGCATCCCAGGTAAAGTGGCAGTTGTGCCAAGTTAAGTTTATGGATGGTTGTAGTATTTTGGCGGTGGGACTAATAATATACCTGTGACACAGTGGGCATTGCTTCTTCCAGGTCATTGTAATAGGATGGCTGCTGGGTGAAGATGTTCTCTGCCAGCACAGTGGGTTAGGGGTTAATGTTAGGGTGATGCTTCTCTGAAGGCTTTTCATTTAGTATGTTCAGGACCTTACCAATCATTTTGTGCAGAAGGTGGCTGTTTCCCTTTCCAAAGAGAACACACAGATCCATGATCTTTGGAATGTCAAACAGAAAGTTGTCATAAATTATTTCCTTAAAGGCAGATGAAGTGAGAAAGTGTTCCTATGGGGAAAAAGAGCACAGATGTTGGCTTATGTTATGTGATGCTCAGGGAAATGTTTCTCATAATGATATGACAAAACATGTCAAGAAAATACATGGGTCAAAAAACCACATGGGTCACACACATAGAGGAGTGACAAGAATCTAGCTCAACAGTGGCCACCCACCCTCACAGTTCCAGAAGTAAATTTATTCTTAATTTTTTCCATATACTTTTAGAAGTATAATCTGATTTTACTAATTACTATAATCAATACTAAAACTAATATTGAAACTAGATCATTAGAGCATGTAATGATACAAAAAAGTCACATTAACAGGACAAAATGTTTGCTTTCTAGAGAAGTTTTTGCATTATTTGAGCTTTATCAGTATGAATATAAGGCCTCATGCAAAGATAAAGAAAGTACAATTATTTTATCTATCAGTATAGAGTATTAAGTGAATCCCTTAGTACTGAAATCAAATTAACACTACTCACCTTTGACTCTTTGTAAGTGGCCATTCTGAGAAAGGTCATGAAGACTGCTCTGTGGAGAGCACTCTGGACCTCTGCCAGGGCAGGAGACGAGGGGAGGCCAGGTACATCTGAACCACGAGGGGCTAGCTGCAAGTACGAATCCAGACATCTCTGCAAGGACTCATCAAACACCACCTACAACAGGGACACAAGAGAGACTGAACTGGAGAGGCACACATATAAGACTGAAATGTCCACCAGTGGAACCAAAGCTCACACTGGCCTTAGGTCCTAGGTGGATGGAGCCATGCACGCTCTATGCTCCACCACAAATGGACTAAAAGACAGGATTTCATGGAATATTTGTTGGGACAGAGCAGAGGTTGCCGCTGATGGTGAGTCTGGAGAATATATTTATTCTCTTCTGTGCATGGGCGTGTGCTGAGATGTTGGAGGTGGTCATGTTTACAGGTACTATGCACAAACACCTGGGTCATTTATGTACACTGTCATGCTGAAATTTGTATTAAAACTAAAGCCGTGGAGGAGAATGAGAAGTTCTTATTGTAGTCCGTTTTGAGTGTTGTAGTTTTTTTATTTAATGGCTCTAAGGTCACGTAATGTCTCAGTTATTCCCGCTGGTTATGATGGTCAGACTCTGTAGCTCTGTGTAGCTGCAACGGTAAAGGAGTTAGGGGCTAGGAGAAAGGATTTGATGTATTTGGAACTAGCCGGGAATACCTGACACCAGAAGAGGTCATGAGACAGGGCCAGCAGCCACTCCAGATCTTCAGTAATGAAACGGGCCTGCTCCAGGAATTGCTCTAATTCAGCCACAGAGCCCTCTGTTGGTGGGGGGGGTGTAAGGCAGAAAGAGACGCTCAGCTATCCTCTTGGGATGCTGCCACACATGGGACATGACACTATTACAGTCAAAATTCAATTACTCTGGAACCAATTATCTCACTTTTGGCTTTTCTAAAGACTTGTGTAAATGTTTTAGTAAAAAATGACTTAATCTTGTGCATATTGTGTGTTGGCAATGTGTTAAAGTGGTAATGTAATGATGTGGTAATCATGATGATGTGATGGTATAATGTGATAATGTGATGGTGTAATGTGATGGTGTAGTGTGATAATGTGACGAGATGATGTGATGTGACACTACGATGGTGTGGTTTTGATGTAGTGACATGATGATGGTGTTTATGTGAGGTAATATGCAGCACTTACCAAAGCGGGCAGTGTGCGTTCCAGACCTGAGCTGTCAAACTCTGTCACCTGCTGCACGTCTAGTGGTACGGGGAAACCTGCCATGCCCCCCTTCAGCTGTGTGTCTCACCTAGCCAAACATCAAAATTTAACTCAACAAATCAGTAAAGGCTTTTTTGGGGAAAGGGGTGTGAGCCTTTAGTCATTTAGATGATAAATTGGTAGATGAAGTCTTAGTCGAACAAAAATGAGTCGACCAATAATTTTATCAAGATTGTAACAATTTATATGGGACAAGAGCAGAAAGTTGAAGTAAATCAGTTGGTGAGTTAGCAGAAAATCTTAGTACTCATGATTCACAAGTGTAATCCTTGTACTTTCAAATTAGTTTTCTTATTCCATAACTGTTAATAAACTGTTATAAATGACAACATCTTTATTCAGTTAAATGAAGGTTTAAAATGCCTTGTGTAAATTGTTTCTGCATTTTAGATAGAATTTTCTACATTGATGATATATTTAAAATAACTAAAGTAACCTGCTTGTTTCTATGGATATGCTCTGCCTGGAATGTTCCTCAGTATGACATTAAACAGCTCTGCCTTACAGTTATTCAGGCTATGTTTACACTGAAATTAATCACCGTATCACCATATCGGAAACGATCTGCATCCAGACATGTTATTTCTGTGTCCGCAAGTCTTCCCTATCCACACAGCTTTGAGCATATTTGTTTACGTTTTACAGAAACAAAACTTAAACCCGCATGGCTAATTTGCATAAACTAAGTGCTCAAAACAGCTTGCTATTGTGCTCTGAGGTGGTTCAGCTTCTGTCGGACTAAAGGACACGACTCAGTGGATTATATGTGTTCTTTCTGTGATAGAGGGGTGTTCTGCTAATGATGGGTCTGTTCTGTGCTTCTATTGCGTTGAAGATGGTTCATGTTAAACTTTTCAGAGATTATTCGTCTGCAGGTGATAACATAGACCGTTTATATGAATGGACATATATTCTAGCCTCTTAGCGTTTTGACGGTGAATTACTTTGCGGTGCACAGACCTACATCAGCTATCAGCGTTTTCAGGCGTCCACAAAGTGCAAGATCAGATCATACTCAAATGAATACGTGGGAGTTGGCGGCACCAGATCGTTCTGTCTCTGGAGCCATTTTCAATCGGATTAGTGTGAACGAACACTGCATCCACAACCAAAATGACTCGAATAGTACTAGTGTGGACAGGGCCTCAGTTACAGGTGGTTTTATAGCTCAACAATACCTAGAAAAACAGGCATTCTGAATGTGAGCGGGGTCGCATCTCCACAAATCTGACCTGTAACTTGGTCTGGTTTGGTCTCTATGAAGATAAAAAGGTTTAATGTCATACTATGAAACATTCCAGAGAAAACAATAACATTTCCACGTAGAAAATAATTTGACGAAACTTCCACCAGAAGTTACACAATGCACCTTTAACTGATGTAAAGCTATGATAAATACTGACCACAGGCACTATCTCAGCAAACAAGTTAGAATTATAAATACCATATGAAAATCATATGTCATACGCACAACTGAACAGAGTAACAGCAAGTGAAATGGGCTCATGGGATAAGGTTGTTGTTTGATTTTATTAAGAACAAATATTTGAAGTTAACACGAAACCATTACTCTTATTCATGGGAAGGACGCAGATCACAAATGTGAAAGAAAACAGAGTGAAATGTATAAATAACGCTGCGTTTACCTTCAGTTGTGAGTCTCACTGCGTAGACGTAAAAACAGGAAGTAGACCCTTGTTTTCACGGAAGTACAATACAATTAAAAAAATAAACTTTACGCCTCTAGTGGACGGTGGGGGTATTCCATCAAAGTGGCAAGCCAAACTGTTAACATTTACGCCTATTTTTAACGCGTTAACACCTTACTTGACGCGTATTATAAGCTTATTTGACGCGTCAGATTGTTATTTGACGTGTCAAATAATAAATTATGGATATGATAATGAACTCCTCCCACTGATTTTCCCAGTCAATGAAAAGGGTCCAGAACAATCCAACACCGATCTCCCAGTGAACATTCTTTACTCTAATCGTTATGTCCCTTTTATTGGTGCTGCTCCCCCAGCAGACCACAGTCAAGTATAGGGCGCTGGCCTCCACAGACTGGGAGAAGATCAAACTAGAAGTTGGAGAAGATACAACTTGCACTCATGATTTTACAAAGGCATCCTTTGATAATGATTGTCATGATTATCAGTGGGACATGGAAAGGACCATATCTGCACTGTCTCATAACAGTGGAGTCTATTGAGATTTTCATTGTCCCACTACAGCAATTAGGTTGATCTGTGATGGCCTATGCACAGCACCAGAGAGAACATGTGTTTTTATTTATTTATTTTGCACATATAACATGACAATAAAAAGAAACATACTAGATAAAAAGTAGGTGCTGGAAGAGACAAAAAACCCAATAGGGCTTATATTAAAGTCTCCACCTTATGAATACATTAAAACTTTTACATTATCATTGTGCATAAAAATGTGTAATATATATATATATATATATATATATATATATATATATATTAAAAACCATGCATTAAATTCTTTTGATTCAAACATGGATTAAAACACAATAAGAAAATCCACAATTGAAAGATTATCAAACACTAACATGAAATATCAAACATTTCCTCAAACTCTTTTTAAACAACGCCTCTGATCTGCCGTCACTAACCAGATGTGAAAACTGACTCCAGAATTTACAGCCTCTGTATCGTAGACAAAACTGAGCTCTTGATGTGACAAATTTTGGAACATGAAAATTATGCATTTGACGAGTTTTGTAATTATGAATCTCTGCATTAGTTTTAAAATAAGATGTGAAATGTTCGGGGATCGTTGTTGAATTGTAAAGAATTTTATACATAAAAATACAAATTTGATAAACATTAATCTCATAAATATTAAGAATGCTAAGTTTAGTAAATAAATGAGCAGATGATGTTAGTGGCATAGAATGAGTTGCAATTCGAACAAAACGTTTTTGCACCAATAATATTTTTTTAAGAGTAGTAGTGAAAGTGCTTGCCCAGACTATATTACAATATGACAGGTAGGGATAAATTAAACTATAATATAATGTAAGTATAGAATTTGAGTCCAGAAACTTACAAACTTTTCTTATAATACCAAGAGATTTGTTAATTTTCCTAGTCACCCAGTCAACATGCTCTTTCCAAGATAGATTATCATCGATAATGACGCCCAAAAATTTGGTGGATGAGACACGAGTTATTTCAATTGAATCAATTTTGATTTAAGGGTTAGTTAGAAATGATTTTTTTACCACAAAAAATCATATAATTAGTTTTTTTGATATTAAGAGATAATTTGTTAATTTTGAACCATTTGTTATAAGCAGATAAAGCAACATTAGTTTGGTTTATTAGAACGTTAAAGTTTGAATTAGATATAAATAAAGTTGTATCATCAGCAAACATTATTGGGGTAAGATCTTGAGATATATAAGATAAATCATTTATGTACAATAAAAATAATAAAGGACCTAATATGGAACCCTGAGGAACTCCACAATGTATATTAGCTTTATCAGAATTGCAACCATTGATATAAACAAACTGAGATCTATTACAAATATAATTCTGTAGCCACTTAAAAACTGTTTATGAAAACCACATTTATATAACTTTGCAAGTAAAATTGTGTGATTGACTGTATCAAAAGCTTTTGACAAGTCCAAAAAATACTACAAATAAATTGATTGTTTTCTAATGCCAACGTTACCTGATCAAATAATTGAAGTAAAGCCATATAAGTACTGTGATTTTTACGGAAGCCATATTGATACTTATAGAGAATTGAATTATTATTTATATGAGAAAATAACCTTTTATAAACAACTTTTTCTAATACTTTTGAAAAGCAAGGTAAAACAGATATGGGTCTATAGTTATTGAAACAGGCTCTATCCTCTGCTTTATATAAGGGCTACCTTGAGGTCCTCTGGTACGGCACCTGTGTTTAAAGACAGTGAGATAATATAAGTAAGTGGCTTCAAAATGTAATGTTTAATTTGCTTTACAAGAAAAGCAGAAATGCCATCATGTCCAGCAGAGGATGGTTTTAATTCATCAATGATTTTACTTATTTCATTGATATCGGGAGGCTGAAAGGACATCATTTCAGGATAGCTGGATTGAATGTATTCCAAAGGATCTTCATTATAGGTTGAAATATTCTTTACTCATTTTAAACCAGAATTAACAAAAAAATTTGTACATTTCTGTGCTATCTCAGAGTTTCATACGTAGTTGCACCATCCACAAACTGAAGGTATATTATTGTTTGTAGATGTAACATCCTTTTGTAGTAGTTGGTTGATAACCTTCCAAGTACCTTTAATATTATTTGAGGCCTTATTTATTTGGCCAAAGTAATACTTCTTTCTTGCAGACCTTAATAAATGGACATAGATGTTTCTGAATTTTTTATAAGTATGAAAAGTAAGAGGAGTTGGATTGGATACATACTTTTTATAAAGTTTTTTTTTTTTTTTTTCTAAACTTTCTCAACAAATCTGATGTAAACCAAGGATTATTAAGTCTCTGACTTTGATTTTCTCTAATTTTTTTAACTGGAAAGGAATCACAAAAATTTATTTGGATTTGCTGAATGAAAAATTTGTATGCATCATCCACATTTGTCTCTAAATACAGTTTATCCCAAGTAATATTGCTTATCTTGAGTTTAAACTTTTCTATATTATGTTTGCTCATATTCCTCATTGATATTATTTTATTTTCATAATGTAAACTCTTTACCTTAAGTGAGCAGTATTGGAATATGGGAAAGTGATCTGACAAATCTGAGTAAATAATCCCAGATTTATTTTCATGATTTAAATTGTTTGTAATTATATTATCAATCAAAGTTGAAGTCTTATCACTAACTCTTGTTGGTTTGTTAATTAATGGAAAAAAATAATTTGAAAAAAAGAGTATTTATAAATTCATCAGAATATGAAGATGTTTTATCTTTCAAAATATTTATGTTGAAATCTCCTAAAAGATTTTTTTCAGAATTTAATGACTCCAGAGTTTTACATAAACTTTCAATAAAATCTTTAATGCCAAAATCTGGACAGTAAATAACTCCAACAATTAAATTTTTTCCCTCACAACCAGAAAGTTCTACAATTTCCCCTTTATCAGAAGTAAGCCTTAGGTCGTTCCTTAGTTTGAATTCATAATTGTTCTGAATAAAGAGCGAAACACCACCCCCTACTCTATTATTTCTTACAAAATGACATGATTGATAATTAGTCAACTTAAAAAAATCACATGTATCTTCGGTGAGCCATGTTTCTGATAAGGCGATAACAGTAGACATATATTTTAAATAGTAAAGGGAATGGGTGAATTCATCGTAATGTCTAGATAAACTTGAAAACACATTAGGCGGCGTTTTTAAAAAAAGGATTCGTTAAACTCCTTTACACTATAATAATCACACAGATTAGAATCATTATAATTGAAAAAAAAGTGTACATCAGGGTCAATTTCACAGCTATACAAATCAGTAGAATCAAAAGAATCAAAGGGTCTGTTAGCAAAGATAGGTCTGTTAGCCATAGGTAAAATAGTGATAAAACAATTTTAAAAAATGACAGAAAACAGTGCAAAACATTATCCTCTGCTTGAAGGACATATCACAATAAACCTTAAGCATTAGAATTAGCTCGGTGAGGTAAATTTCGAGGTGGGTGAACAATCAGTTTATCATACTTTAAATAAGCTACATCACCTCTTTCACAGGCTGCTTTCAGAGCTGGGAGAAGTTCTTTCCTTTTCTGCCGAATAGCTTCTGGAAAATCCTCATTAATGAAGATCCCTGAGCCTTTCAGCCTCTTGGCCCGTTCCAGTACAGCCATTTTGTCCTTCAGTCTCAGAAATCTCACCACAACAGGACGAGGTCTCTCTGAGTTTCCAGGCACAGGCTTCCCAGCTCTATGAACCCGGTCCAGTTCAATTTTAAGATGATCCAGTTGTAGCTTCTCCATAAAGAGTTTTCTCAATTTGTCTTCACATTCACTCACATTTTCTTTTCCAGACTCCTTGATGCCCTCAATAACAATATTGTTTCATTTAGATTGACCTTCCAAAAGCTCCGTCTTATCAGAAAATGCGAGAAGACTTTTGCAGATTGTGTCCAGATCAGATCTGAATTCATTGCAGTTCTTTGACAAAGCAGAGTATGAAGCTTTGTAATCATCAAATTCCTTTTGAGTCATTTCTAGACTTTGTTTAAAATCATATATTTGCATTGTCTGGTCATCAATTCTCTTGTTTGATGAATCCACAAACACTTGAAGAAATGTTTTAAAAATCCTTTCTTGCTGTTCCAGTAGAGTTTTATAAAAAAAATCTTTTTGCTGATCCAACAATTCACGCACCTGAGATGTGGTGACATAATCCTCTGTGTTGTGGTTAGCCTTAGGTGGCATGGTGGAGGTAACAGAGGCCTACAAAGGCCCAAGCCTCTCTTAAACAAAGACAATAAGTCTCACTTGGAATTCAGGCAAAAGAGTTGTAAAATATTGATCTTTATGTTCTTTAGAGTCTAAACTGTTGAATAAATGCAGTGTTTTTACCAAGATTCTCTTGATATTTGTTGGATTAGGGAGTAGTAATTCCCCCACACTAGCAGCACAGCCAACCATAGAAAATTTATCCCAACCATAGAAAATGTATTTTCTATGGTTGAAAATGTATTTTCTATGGCTGGGATTATCTTATTGTGTCATACTGGGCTAAAAATGCAATAACATAA